GCTCAGAAAGCAACCAAAAAACACAGCTAAATGGAATGAGAGAAAGGACAAAAAAAACAAAATGAGAATTTCAACAATTAATTGAAACTATAAAAAAGAACACAATAATGAGAAAATATCCATACATTTCAACAGCTGACTTGATCATGCAAAGGAAAGAATCAGTGACCTCAGAGACAGGTTTAACTACTGAATCAGACAAATATAAAGATAAAAGAATTTTAAAAAGCAAAAAAAGCTTATAGTAGTTACCATCAAACACACCAATGTAGGCCAGAAGAGGCAGAGAAATGGGCAGAAAAGATGACAAGCTTACCAATTCTAGGAAAGACAAAAATCCAGGGACAGGAATCTCTAAAAGATCCCCAATTTCACCCAATCAAGACCAGAGCAAAATAAACTTTAAAAATCAAAGATAAGGGGCTGGGGATGTGGCTCAAGCGGTAGCGCGCTCGCCTGGCATGCGTGCGGCCCGGGTTCGATCCTCAGCACCACATACCAACAAAGATGTTGTGTCCGCCGAGAACTAAAAAATAAATATTAAAAATTCTCTCTCTCTCTCCTCTCTCACTCTCTCATTCTCTCTTTAAAAAAAAAAAAAAATCAAAGATAAAACCAAAATCTTGAAAGCAGCAAGAGCAAAGAGGCATATTGTATACAAAGGAATTTCAATACAACTAAAAAGCAGATTTTCCAGCAGAARCCATACAGGCCAGGAGAGATCAATTCAACATGCTAAAAGAAAAATACTGCCAACTAAAAATACTTTTATCAGCAAAACTATCCTTCAGAAATTAAGGAAAAAAATTAGCTTTCTCTAACAAAAGCTGAGAAAGTTCATCACCACTAGACTGCCTTACAAGAAATGCTAAAGGGAGTTTTTAAACAAAAGATGATAATTAGTGACATGAAAATATATGAAAGTAGAAAGCACTGATAAAAGCAAGTACGTATTCAAATTCAGAACACATAGTCAGTCCCATTATCCATGAGAAATACAGTCTGAGAATTCCTGTTGAATGCCTTAATCCACAGATAGAAATGTACCCCAAATACAAGTACTGCAATGTCATAACAGTTAATCTGATGAGACTAAGTAACTAAAAGGTGTGTATAGCATATACACTATGGATATACTGGACAAAGAGATAACTCATATTCTGCACAGAATGGAGCAGAATAGTACAAGATTTAATCCTGCTACTTAAAACAATGTGCAACTTAAAACATAAATTGTTTATTTCTGAAAATTTCCAATTAATATGTTTGGACCATAGTTGATCACCGACAAGTGAAACCACAGAAATCCAAATAATAGATGGAGAACTACTGTACGTTAATATTGTAATGGTGGTATGCAAGTCACATGTATCTTTAGCAGGAAGGTTAAAAGAGAAAACAATTAAATCATGGCTACAATAATTTTTAAGAAATATGCAATAATAAGATATAAATGGGTACATCAAAATATAAAATACAGGATGGAGTAAATAAAAAGGTTTTGTGCAAAGTTCAATTGTGATCAGTGTAAAATAACCTGTTATAACTATAGGGTGTTTTACGAAAGTCTCATGATAATCATCAAGATCTATTAATAGATACATTAAAAGAATAAAAAATAAGAGGATTTGAGATGTAGCTTGGTGGTACAACATGAGTTTAGCATTCAAAAGGCCCTGGGTTCAATCCCTAGAGTCCCAAAAAATAAATGAAAAGAAATCAAAGTATCTCAAAAATTTTAAAATCACCTTATCACAAAGAAAGACAGCAAGAAAGGAGTAAAGGACCCACAAAAGAAACAGAAAAAAGTAACAACAGTATCACAGTCAACTATCACAGTCAAAAGACACAGTGACTGAATAAATTTTTTACAAAAACAAAAGACCCAACTATGCATTCCCTAAGACACTCATTTCACTTTTAGGAATATACACAGACTGAATGTGAGGAACATGAAGAAGTAGAAAATAAAAATGGAAACTAAAGAGACAAGAGCTAGCTACAGCTACATTGATAAAACAGACTATAGGCCAAAAACCGTAAAAAGAGACAAATYATTTTATAAAGATAAAGGAGGTCACTTCAGTAAGATGACTTAAAAACCATAATTATATATGCACGATACATAGAGGTACCTTAATATTTAAAGCTAATACCAATCTATCAATTGAGTGAGCAAGAGAGAGAGAGAGGGCTGGGGATGTGGCTCAACTGGTAGCGCGCTCGCCTGGAGTGCGTGCGGCCCGGGTTCGATCCTCAGCACCACATACCAACAAAGATGTTGTGTCCGCCGAGAACTAAAAAAAAATAAATATTAAAAAAAAAAAAGAGAGAGAGAGAGAGAAATGCCAAATAATAGGGGACTTCAATACCCCACCTTAAGCAATGTACAGATCACCAAGAAGTAAGGAAATAGCAGACCTGAACCACACTGTACACCAAATGGATCTAACAGACATTTATAGAACATTCCATCCAAGAGCAGCAGAATATATATTCTTCTCAACTTCAAAGGAACACTCCTCAAGATAGATCATATGTTAGGCCACAAAACAAGTCTTAAAAAATAGAAGAAAACTAAAATTATACCAAGTATCTCTTCTGATCACAATGATATGAAACTAGAAATCAATAACAGGTTAAATTCTGGAAAATTTACAAATGTGGAAATTAAACAGCATGATCCCAAACAACCATGGATCAAAAAAAGAAATTAAAAGGGAAATTTTAAAATATCTCTAGAAAAACAAAAATGGACAATACATAACATACCAAAACTTATGGGATAAAGCAAAAGTAATTCTGAGATGGAATTCTATAGCAATAAACACCCACATCAAAATATAAAATCTCAAATGAGCTAGTAACATTAAATCTCAAGAACTAAGAAAAAAAAAACTAAGCCTAAAGTTATTAGATGAAAGAAAATAATACAGATCAAAGCAGAAATAGAATAAAAGATTAGAAACATAATAGGAGGCTCTGGGGTTGTGGCTCATTGGTAGAGTACTTGCCTAGCACGTGTGAGGCACTGGGTTCAATCCTTAAAACAAAATAAAATCAATCCATAAAAATAAATAAATAGGTGCTGGGATTGTGGCTCAGCAGTAGAGCGGCCCCTAGCACAGGCGGGACCTGGGTTCGATCCTCAGCACCTCATAAAAAAAATAAAGACATTGTGTTGTGTCCATCTACACCTAAAAAATAAATATAAATAAATAAATAAATAAAATAAAGGTATAAGAAAAAAAAAAAAGAATAGGAAAGATCAACTAAGGTAKAGTTCAGTTCACACCTAGCAATGCATGAGGCCTTGAGTTCAATCCCCAGAACTGCCCCTCAAATCAACAAAACTAAGAACTGATGTTTTGAAAAGATACACAAATTCAAAAAAACTTTAATTAGACTAAGGAAAAAAAAGGGCTCAAATTACAATTGATACCTCAGAAATACAAGGATCATAATTTATGAAAAATTATAGAGCAACAAATTGAATAAATTCCTAGACATATACAACCTACCAAGACTAAATCATGAGGAAATAAAATCTGAACAGACCAATAATAAGTAACAAAATTGAATCTATAATAAAAAGTATCCCATCAAAGCAAAGTTCAGGAACTTAACACTTTCACTTATGAAATTCTGACAAACATTTAAAGATTAATACCAATTGTTCTCGCTCTTTCAAAACACAGAAGAGGAGGAGATGCTTTTAAACTCATTTTTTGAGGTTAGCATACCCTGATACCAAGGCCAAGCAAAGACACTACAAGAAGAGAAAATTACAGGTCAATATCCCTAATCAATATAGATGCAAAATTCTCAACAAAATACTATCAAATTCAACAGCATATTATAAGGATCATTACAATGACCAAAGGGTATTTATCCTTGGGATACAAAGATGGTTCAACATACACAAATCAATGAAAGTGATTGACCACATTAACACATTGAAGAAAAAAAACATATGATCCTGTCAACAGGTGCAGAAAAGCCATTTGGCAAAATTCAACATCCTTTCATAATGTAAAAAAAACTCTCAACAAATTAGCTGTCAAAAGAGTGTGCTTCAACACAATAGACACCATATATAATACATATACAATACCAAAGGTAACATTGTACTCACTGGTAAAATGTTCAAAGCTTTTACTCTAAGATCAGGAACAGAGGAAGGATATCTACTCTTACCACACCTATTCAACACAATACTGAAAGTCTTAGCCAGAGATATGAGGAAAGAGAAATAAAAGCATCCAAGCCCCAAAGGAAGAATCATCCCTATTTGCAGCTATGATCTAATATGTAGAAAACCCTTGATATTCCACCAAAAACAGAAAATGAATTTGATAAAGTTGCAGGATACAAAAACCAACATACAAAAATCAGTAGTATTGGGCTGAGGATGTGGCTCAAGCAGTAGCGCGCTTGCCTGGCATGTGCGGGTTGCTGGGTTCGATCCTCAGCACCACGTAAAAATAAAATAAAGATGTTGTGTCCACCGAAAACTAAAAAATAAATATTAAAAAATTCTCAAAAAAATCAGTAGTATTTCTGAACACTGAAAATGAAAAATAAATCCAGAAAATACTCCAATTTTAACAGCTACAAAAATGAAATAAAATACTTAAGAACTACTAAGTAGGTAAAAGATCTATACAACAAAAACCATAAAAATTGATGAAAGAAATTGAAGATGAAAATAAAACAGTAAATGATTTATTAAACAGCAATAATGAGAATTAAAATAATTCACTTTAATAATTTGGATTTATGTTTTTTTAAACTGGATATCTTCTAGGGCTATTTATTACTTCGTCCCCTTTTCTCTCATGTTCTATCCAATTCTTTTATTTCTGCAGGATATATATTCTTTAAATAAGCGCATTTATAAAACAACATGAATAATAATAATAAAGTTTATAGAAATAAAATTTATAAAATCAACATAAATAATAATAATAAAGTTTATAAAAATAAAAGTGAGAACCTACCTGAAGCCTTGCTAATTGTGCTGTGCGGGCTACTATTTTATTGTATGGCTCCACAATTTTTGCTTTCATCCTAAGAGAGGAAAAAAGAGAAAGAGAAATAAGAACAAAATCATCTTCAAAGGGCTGGGAATATAGCTCAGTTGGTACAGTACTTGCCTCACATGCACAAGTACCTGAGTTCAATCCCAAGCACCACAAAAAAAAAAATCATTTTCAAAATATAAACAAATAATTTCATACCATATATTTATAAAATGAATAACAGTACCTATCCACAGCTCCTTGTAAAGCCCCAATTCTTGTCTGCATCATCTGAAGAACACCTGGGAAAACAACAACTTATATTGGCATTACAAGTACAAGGATTCACACTGGGTAAAAATAAATTAATTAAATAAAATTAATATATATACAAACCTAATTTTAACATTTTCTGCCACCACCCTAATCCAAGCAACCAATATCTTTTACTTGCACTGTTATGAAAACCTATAATTAGCTTTCCCCTTCAATGCTTACCCCACAAAAGAAATCTGAGGGACCTGAGTATGACTGCTTAATGAGTATTGGGTTTTCATTTGGGGTGGTGAAACAGTTCTTGAACTAGGTAGTAGTACAGTTCTTGAATACTGTAAATGTACTTAATGCCACTAATTTGTATACTTTAAAATGGTTAAAATAGTAAATTTTATTACATGTACTTTACTACTATAAAAACAAAGCCTTGAAATCTTCAAAAGTTCAAATTGTATCATACTATTCTTCTGCTTAAAACCCGTCTGTGGTCTCCTCTTCACTATTATATTAAAACTATAGTCCATAGCTTGGTCTGTTAGATCCCACATTATCTGGAAATAGAGTACTTACTCTAGCTAGCCCTTAATTTCCTATAAGATAATTCCTACTATTTCTTCAAGACTTGTGCTTAACAGAAACAATTACTAACAAGATCCCCTACTAATTTAGATTCCCTTTTTTATTCACTTGTATAGAATATTATATTTTTACTTTATGGCACAATTATATTAAGTAATTACATATTTAGTTGTATATGTTTAATGTTTTACTCCCCTGCCAGGATATAAATTCCTGATATTAAGGAAAGTATCTTTTTTATTCCCTACTATATAATCAAAGCCTAACTCAGAATCATTAGCAGGTACATGATAAATATTGTTTTTTTAAAGAGAGAGAGAGAGACAAGAGAAAGAATTTTTTTAATATTTATTTATTTTTAGTTTTTTTTGGCGGACACAACATCTTTGTTGGTATGTGGTGCTGAGGATCGAACCCGGGCCGCACGCATGCCAGGTGAGCATGCTACCGCTTGAGCCACATCCCCAGCCCCATGATAAATATTTTTTGAATTAATGAATTATGTATTATACAAATAAACATGGACAGCAAGCATATTACTGCCTTTATAATCCAGGTTTACAACATGATGAAAAAACTACAAAATTATTAGTGTTTTCAGAGATAACTTAAACTTCATTATTTAGGCTTTCCATTATTGTGATTCAATTATTTTGAATTCTTCTCCTTAAAACTCAGTTTCTATATTCAATTGGCACAGTCATATTTTGAAAACATAGTAATCTAAATAAATTTAAGTATAGACATCCTTTCATATTCTAAATAAAGTAACATTAGAACTAATAAAACATTCCTATCAGCATACAATGATACATTAATATGGTTCAGTCCAACAGAATCTAACAAGGACCTGAGGATTTTTTTTTCCTTTCTTTTTGCTGGTTTCATGGTTCATTCCCCTACTTGTCTTGGTTGTCAGCATTTCCTTACATCTTATTGTCTTCACAATCTACTCTTAATCAGTTTTCACTAATACTCCACTGAAATAGATCTTATCGAGGCCACCTGAAATCTCCAAGTTGCCAAATTCAACAGTCAATTTTGTCTTTAGGGTCACAGACATACTTCATCACTCCCTCCCTAAAATACATTCTTCTCTAGGCTTCAAGTCATCACACCCTTGAGTTTGTCGATCCTACTCTTCCTTCTTCTGCTAGATCTCTACATGTTGGAGTACCTCCCAAGACTTGATTCTCAGAAATCTTCTCTACTCCATCTATAATCTTTTGGGGATTTCATTCAATCCCAATGTTTAAATACTCTCTGTTCAATAAAATATTGATATATACATATGTGTGTATACTTATGTACATATGCACATATTATGCACATATATATATATATATATATATATGTATATATACGTTGATTTTCTTTGTAGCAAACTATGTACACATACACATACAATTTGGAGCCCTGAACTCTGCTATGTTAAATTTAAGATGCCCAAGATTAATTTCTGTCCCACCCCAACGCCATCAAAAAGCATAATCCTCTCCACTCTATCCCATCTCAATTTCTAATATTAGGTCCATCTGCACTTAAAGGTTCTTAACTTCCCCAAGAACATACTTAATCTGTGGTAGCTGATAAACTGTACCTTCCAAAGACTCAATCCCTGTTGCTTGTGCCAGTAAATCTTCATGTCTTGCAACAACCTGAAAATGAAGAATGAATAATCAACAATTGCTCTATAATGCATTTTTCTTGGTTACCACAATAAAGAACCGAAGCTCTTTCTTGGTGTATAAATGGGACAAACACTTAAAGAAGGTTATGAGGTTGTGGAAGTGTGCTTCAAATGAGTTACTAGTGGGAACACATACATCTGTTTATAGTTTAATAGAACAGGAGGAGATATTGCCTTTTCACTAGCTCTGTCTTAGTCTATTTGGGGTGCTAAACAAAATACCACAGACTAATTTCACAAACACAGATTTATTGTCCATAGTTCTGGAGTTCGTTGAGTCCAAGATCAAGGTGCAGGCAAATGTGGTGGGTGTCTAGTAAACACCCATTCCTTATAAACGGTGCCTTCTGTGTCTTCAATGATAGAAAACCTGAACAGCTCCCCTGGCCCTCACTAATAAGGGCCCTACTACTCTCCCAAAACTCCCTCAACTCTTAATGTTATTACATTGGAGATTAAGCTTCAACACATTACATTAATTCTTCAGAAATAAGAACTCTCAGACCATAGGAAGCCCCTGGTTTCCCTAATGAGATACATAAGTGGAGTTGTACCAAAAATGAAAAAATCAGCTAGTTCTTGACAGGTTATTCTTCTTTCTCTTTAAAGAATGTCTTCAAACATCAGGTTTTCTTAGTTCTTGAACTTAATTCAGTGCCGTCAAAGCTATATCCTAATACGGACAGATAAGGCGCTTGGTGCCTATCTATACTTAAATATATCCCTGCTTCCAGTTTCCTGGTGACACAGCAAATTCTCTTCTCTACAAAAGACTGACATTTTTATATAAGAAAATTAGGGCAGTGTAGATGACCACAACAAAAGTAAAGAAGGTTAAGAGTTAAAGGTCATGCTGGGCACAGTGGCACACACCTATAACCCCAGCAGCTCAGGAGGCTCAAGCAGGAAGATTGCAAGTTCAAGGCCAGCCTCGGAAATTTAACAAGGACCTAAGCAACGTGGTGAGGCCCTGTCTCAATGTAAAAAAATATAACAAGGGCTGGGGAACATGGCTCAGTGGATGAGCACCTCTGGATTCAATGCCTGGCACCAAAAAAAAAAAAAAAGTTAAAATTCACTGGCAAGCGATTCCTAAGAACATTAAGAAATTATGCAAATCTTTAGAATGAAAAATCCTTATCATTTTTTACACTTAATTCCAATGAATAAAAGTTTCTTATTCGTATCTACAAAGAACTAAAGCTATCTTGGTAAACTTAAGTTCCTAATCAGCAAAGATTCATTCATTGACACCCTCCACTTTGTCCTATTTCAGATATCACTGTCATTCTATCAAGTCTCTTCCTCTCTTATCCAAGTGTTAGTCTAATTTAACCTCTGAGGTTACCAGAAGACATCTGAATTTTCCTCATGCCCTAACTACTAGTAAATCTTTTGCAATATTAATCATCTCACTGACAAATTAATTTTATTGTATTTGTTTTATTAATTAGTATTATCTCAATTTTGCTTCTGTAAAAACACCACTTATAGCATGTTCAGATCTCATATTATAATTCAGAGATTTCCTCTCACATCCTAAACTTAACAGTGTAACTTGTCCTATGTATGAAATGTTAAATTTTAAATTCATACTGATTCCTACAGAGAATGTATTATGTGCAAAAATAGAGAAAATAAGCATAAGCAGGCAGAAAGAATTTCAGATGACTCTTGCAAAATGCCAACACCTTAGAACTACATACACAGTTAACTATATTCTCCCTTATCTCACAAACACCTTGTACTATTCTAATTAAAATAAGCATCATCTGTTCGCCATTACTTCTGTCTGTCTGCCACTGATCTAAGAGTCCCTGGAAAGTCAGGAAATGTGTTTCTCTATCCCCACAGCCTGACACAAAACATGACAATTAAAAGTGTCTTCTAAATATTTGTCAATAAATATTGAACTGTATATAATAAAAAAATTTTAAGTTAAAGGAATATTAGAAAGTCATACAAATCCTCTAACCTGCTATTTTATTTAAGAAACTAAGACACAAAAAGTTTAAGTAGACATGTCTCATGGTACATGGTCCATTTATTTGCATATTTTTTTCATTATCTAAAAAATTATTTATTAAGTCCCCATTCAAGCAAAATGCAATACCAGAAATATATAGTAAAACTACCCTATGAAAATTACAGAATTGGCCAGTACAATGGTGCACACTTGTAATCACAATGGCTCGGGAGGCTGAGGCAGAAGGATCGCAAGTTCAAAGCCAGCCTCATCAAAAGTGAGGCACTAACTAAGCAACTCAGTGAGACCCTGTCTCTAAATAAAATACAAAATAGGGCTGGGGATGTGATTCAATGGTCCAGCATCCCTGAGTTCAATCCCGGGTACTAAAAAAAAATTACAGAATTGTACAAGAGGAAGGAACCTACAAGATTATCTACTGCAATCTCCTCCTCTTAGTCATTCCAACCCATTTCATAGATTTAAAAGACAAACAAAAAAAAACTCAAAGATGATAAATGATATGAAATTCAGTTAACTACACATCAGACATTAAGACCCATCTCCTAACTGTTCCGGTTGTATTCTACCCACCACAATATTTATCATATTTATCAACTTTCTTTAATTTCAGTAAAGGTTTTTTTTTTTTTACCTTTGTGTTTACAAACACAACATAACATCCCAATTTTTCTCATTATTATCTTTCTAAAATTCCATTTTCTATTATTTTTAATCAAAGACATTCTAATTTTTTTTTGCTCATTATAGTCATTGCACATCAATTTAAGTGTTAACAGTAAGAATAAATAAAATGTTTTAGACAGGTATATATGGAAAACTCTGCAAAAAGCAAAAATGTAGTTTGAAAAATAAGTCACTGGTAAGATATGCATTTATTCATACAAACATGCACTTAAATTTAACAATAATGATTGTACAAAAAGGCTAAATTATCATATTAGGCTGAATAATCTGTATGATCCAATAGAACTGAATTACCTGTAGGTGTAGTTCTTTATCCAACTGACTGATCCCTTGGGCAAGTTTTGCTAGTTGTTCAGCAATTACAGCTTGATGAATAGATTGGGAAGTATAAGTCTTCACATCAAAATCTTCATTTAAAAAGTCACTATAACACTCTGGAGGAAAAAAATCAGGACAACTCTTTATATATCCTGTCCTAAAGCACAGTTATTAAACACAACAATTATAACTAACATATTCTGACATCTTCCTGTACACTGGGATCTGTAATAAATGCTTCCCTATAATAATGAGGAAAGAGTGGAGCAGGCAACAGTTGAAGAGCAGTGAGAATACTCAAGTCCACTACATGCCAGGCACTGATTTAAGTACTTAACATATACAAACTCATTCAATACTTGCGCTACTCTGTTGGAGCTATCCTTTTCCCCATTTCACAGATGAGGAACAAGCACAGACAGGGCCTGMAACTTATCCAACATTACTCTCTGCAATTTCAAACCAGGAAGTCTAAGTGCAGAGCTCAAGTTCTGAACCGCTCTGCTATACTGTTAAATGCTTACTTTTTTAATGAATCAAAAGGAAGGAAAACACTGAGTAAAATATTGAAACATAACTACCAACCATAGTCTTTTTTCCAAGAAAACAAGGTCATTGCCAGGGAGAACACAATAGGAAAATTGGCTATTTATATATAATATGTATGGCCTCAGATCTTTCTAGATCAGTGCATGAATACTGTTATAATAAAGTGAATCTTGAATTTTAAGAGAAATAGGCAAGGAAACTTATAAGTGTTACTGAAATTTAGGATTTCCAGGCAAAATAAGTAAATAGGTAAAAGAACTGATACTATGTGTTAAAAAGATAACTTTCGATAAAGAACCCACAAATTTGTGAGTGATTAAAAAATGGAGAAAATTAAGAGATAAAGGTAGCTATACAGAGCTAGGCATAGCAGCACATGCCTGTAATCCCAGCAACTTGGGAGGCTAAGGCAGGAGGATAGTGAGTTTGAAGCCAGTCTCAGCAACTTAGACTCCGTCTCAAAATGAAAAACAAAAAAGTCTTGTGGCTCAGTGGTTAAATACCCCTGAATTTAATTCCCAGTACCCCCCCAACCAAAAAAAAAATCATAAAAATGATCTCAGGGTAGATATATACCACAGCCTCCTAACTGTATGTGAGATAGAGATAGGGCTGCCTTGTCAGACATTATAAAGCAAAACAAACCAACAAGCAAAACAAAGTATTTAATAACACTTGGGCTGTTTACACCTACTGTAATGTATGATCCATGTTTACACCTACTATAATGTATGATCCATAAGGATAAGATCGTTGTATTGGGGCTGGGGATATGGTTCAAGCGGTAGCGCGCTCGCCTGGCATGCGTGCAGCCCGGGTTCAATCCTCAGCACCACATACAAACAAAGATGTTGTGTCTGCCAAAAACTAAAAAATAAATATTAAAAACTCTAAAAAAAAAAAAGAAAAAGATCGTTGTGTTGTTTCCTACTACATCCCCAAGCCCTAAAAAAATGGGACACATGGTCAGATGTGCAGCATTGGTTGAGTTAATTAATCTGTATATCAACTGAAAGTATTATTCTGCTAAAAGCAAAGACTGATATTCTTGACTACTCTCAAAATGAAGTGAAGTAAAAGAAGAATACTGCTATTTTGGCCTTAATTCTGAGAACCACATTTCCTTCCAATCTGCCCAGTGGTTCTCAGAATAATCCTGTCAGACAGACAAATTGGAAAAGGCCATTTCAAGCAAATGGAAGACCTAGCAACAGCAAGTACCATGGTATGTTTTAACAAATATGGAAAATACTAACTTTGGTATGTCTACATCATAGAATGTATCTGCTAGGCAGAAAGGGTAAAGAATGAGAGATGAAGATGGAAGGCAGTTTGAAAAGAGGCCTCTAAGATACCCAAAATAGGGCTGGGGCTGTGGCTCAAGCGGTAGCACGCTCGTCTGGCATGCGTGYGGCCCGGGTTTGATACTCAGCACCACATACCAACAAAGATGTTTTGTCTACCGATAACTAAAAAATTAAATAAATATTAAAAAAAGATACCCAAAATAGTCAAATTATATCCCATTAAAGGTTTTGAAGACAAGAAGGAGCACTGTCAGCTTTGTGTTCTAGAACAATAATCTTGGCAGTGGTATGGAGGATGACTAAAAAGGGATTAGTTACACAACAGTTTGCTATAATTGGCTCTTGTTGCCTTTTGGCAGCAAGCTATTACATTTTCAGGAATTCTGTAAGCCAGTTGACATCACATGTGCATATCTTAAAATTGACCAGGGGGAGGGTATTTACACTATGGAAATAGGCAGATACTATAAAATAAGGACCTTTTCTATTTTCCCAGAAAGCTGATTTACTACTGCAATAGATAACCGGTATGCCACCCATAAAGAAGAGCCACAAAGTACAGTAAAGTACAGTACTATGGTAATAGCCCAAGTGACATAAGGAAGGCATGAATGATAGTGTCACTAAGAATGTCAAGGAATTGATAAGAGTAACAAATAATCACATAAACACACTGTTTAGGACTTAGTGAAAAGTTGAAAATGGGCTATTAGATGCAGCAAATCAAGGATGATTTCCAAGTTTCTTGATTAAGTAACTGAAATAGGGAATTCAGTTTTGCATTAAGCTAGACCACTAGGTATTAAATATGCAAAGATGAACATAAACAAACACCAGCCGCCAAGGAATTCATAATCTACATAAGGAACACGCAGGCTTTACCTACCTACATATAATAAATGGAACCAGAATCTACCAGAGGAAAAAATTAGGAGACAGAAGTAGAAGAAAAAAAACTATTTCATTTTTTTGTATGTAGAATTTGTACTATTTGTTTATGTGTAGGTTTTCATATGTAGAACTGGTATTGCTTGTTCATTATCAAGACAAAATTCCAGTACACATTTGAAAATGTAGTTCTATAATTCAGAAGATGGCTAACAAAAAGAGTAGATAATTTATGAAAAAAACTTTGAATGCACAAAAATAAAAAATAAACAGGGAAATAGGAAAAATAGGCTTTAGAAGCGGCGGGGAGTGGGGAGGCACTAAAAATTCGGAGATGGATAAAGGAAATAATATAAATCAGAGACTAAAGAATGCTCAGGAAAAAAGGAAGAGAAACATGAAAGACTTGAAAGAAACATGAAAGATCAAAGACTTAGGAGTTAGACCAGAAACAATGCAACTGCTAGATGAAAACACAGGGTCAGGCTGGGGATGTGGCTCAAGTGGTAGCACACTCGCCTGGCATGCACGGGTCGCTGGGTTGGATCCTCAGCACCATATAAAAATAAAATAAAGATGTTATGTCCATCAAAAACTAAAGAAAAAATAAATATTAAAAAATTCTCTCTCTCTTTTCAAAAAAAAAAAAAACAAAACAGGGTCAATCAATCCATTATAAAGTGGCAAGCACTGACTTCCTTAGCCAGATGCCTAAAGCTCAAGAAATAAAAACAAGAATCAACAAATAGAATGCCATCAAATTAAAAAGCTTATGCACAGCAAAGGAAATGATTAAGAAAAGAGAGCCTATGGAATGGGAAAAAATCTTTGCCAGCTACTCCTCTAACAGGGGATTATACCCAGAAGAGATAAAGAACTAAAAAAAAAAAAAAAAACTCAATTCCAGAAAACCAAATAACCCAATCAATAAATGGGCAAAAGAACTAAACAGAAATTCTCTCTCTCCCTCACTCTCTTTCTCTTGCTTTTTGTTTGTTTGGTTGGGTTTGTTGGTTTTTATTTTTTATTTATTTTTAATTTTTTGGTACCGGGACTTGAACCCAGATGCACTTTACCACTAAGCCATATCCCCAGGCCATTATTTTTATTTTTTACTTTTTTATTTTGAAACAGCATCTCACTAAGTTGCTCAGGGCCTTAGTTGCTGAGACTGGCCTCAAACTTGCAATTCTCCTGCCTAGCCTCCTGAGTTGATGGGATTACAGGCATGCACCACCATGCCCAGCCAGAAATTTCTCAAAAGAAACACAAATGGCCAACAATATATGAAAAAAAAAAAATGTTCAACATCTTTAGTAATCAAAGAAATGCAAACCAAAACTACAAAAAGATTTTATCTCACTCCATTCAGATCAAGAATGATCTGAATGGATYATGAACACAAAAGATCAAGAACACAAATCATAGTAAAAGCTGACAAAAATGTAGGGGGAAAGATACACTCATACATTGCTGGTGGGACTGCAAATTAGTACAACCACTTGAAAAGTAGTATGGACATTCCTCAAAAAAATCAGGAATGGAACTACCATATGACCCAGCTAACCCACTCCTTAATATTTATCCAAAAGAACTAAATTCAACATTCTACAGTGATATAGTCACTACAGTATTTATAGCAGCACCATTCACAATAGCCAAATTATAGAATCAGCCCAAATGCCTGTTGAAGAAAATGTGGAATATATACACAATCAAGTTTTACTCATCCATAAAAAAGAATGAAATCATAGCATTTGTCAGTAAATGGATGGAAACGGAGAACATCATGCTAAATGAAATAAGCCAGACTCAGAAAATCAAAGGTGGAATGTTTTCTCCGGTATGGGGAAACTAGAACAAAGTAAAGGAAAGACAGCTGTTGGGGGGCGGGGGTGTTCAGATATCATAAATATATAGGGAAAATCACTAGAAGAGAAAGAGGAAAACAAGAAGAAGGGAGAAATTATGGGAATAGGAAAGAAGGAATGAATATAACAAAATAATGTTATATGMATATCTAAATGTACCAAAGGGAATTTCACCTTTATGTATATGTAGAAAGTACCAATCAAAAATAAATAAAGTAATGAAAGGAAGATCATTTGAGTAGAAGAGTGAGAATAGGGAAGGAAGTGGGTGACCAGAGGGAGGAAAGAATGGGGATTAAAATCAAATTCCTTGCTTGTATGATTTTTTTTTCCAAAATGAACTCACTGCTATGTATAATTACAATGTCTGATTTAAAAAACAAAACATATGCAATCACTGGGGGGAAAAAAAAAAAACTAATCCTAGAAAGGTTTTTCTTGACACTATCTGACCAATCCCTAACCTCTAGTTATCATCCTCTGAACTAATGGTTTACTTTGTACACAGTTCTAATGCTACTATTACAACACTATTATAATACTTACTTTTAGAGCTCAAGAAGATTATGAACTTTCTAAACTTTTTTTTAGTTGTAGATGGATACAATACCTTTATTTTATTTGTTCATTTTTTTAATGTGGTGCCTGGGATTGAATCCAGTGCCTCCTGCGTGCTAGGCAAGCCCTGGACCACTGAGCCACAACCCCGGCCCATTCTCCCCTACTAGATGGTGAGCTACTTGAGAATAAAAAAATAGAGACAGTTAGTCTCACAAGAGTTCAAAACTTGGTTAAATTGAATTTCAATTAAAATACAAAGATGTATTACACAGGGAACCTAACCCAAAGGATTCAACACAGTCTAGTCCTGAAAATACCCTTAATTTTGACAAAAAAAAAAAAGTATATAGATTGTCATGGAAAATCAATAAAAATACTCAACAGAAAAAAACAATTTAAAACTTTTAACCTTTTATAATACACTTACAGTAATGTTCAATTTTTAAAAAATCTTTCTGGGCCTACTGTATGTAAGATAGGGCTATTAACATTGTGGAGTTTAAAAAGGATTTTACGGAGGGCGTGGTGGTGCACACCGGGGACTTGAGAGATCTCAAGTCTCAGCGAAACAACATCTCAAAAAGTAACAAAGGGATGGGGGCTGAGTATATGTGCTCAGTGGATAAGGGCCCCTGGGTTCAATCCCCAATACCAAGAAAGAAAGAAAAAAAAAGAGGGTATAGGGGTTTACAATAGAGCAGAAGAGATTAAGGTAAGTATACAAATGATTTTAATACAAGGTAGAACGTTATATCCATTAGGGAAAACACTAAGAAACTTATGTTTACCCTCAGAAATCTGAACTTTATTCTGAATGATGAGACTCAGCACGTTAACTGGACTACAACTGAATGTGCTTTTCAACTACACTATATTAAACTCACTGGGGATAACTTCTCTTCAAAACTGACTACCAATAAATCTGACTGCTGTTTTCTGTACGAATAGATAACCCCTGCCTGAACTAAGAGTATAAACCCTCCTGCTTGTCTAATTGTGAATAACTGCCTCCTCAAAGAAACACAAGACTGCAAGAAGGGACACCTGTATAACCCAATAATTTAACGGAGGAGGTGTTTCCAACTCTACTTTAAAAAGAACTCCTTTCAATAAGTGTCTGTTATCTGTTCTAGGTCTTACACTTTTCATGGGCTAGAATGCTTCATCTTTTCGTCAAAAGTGCGGCAGCAGGCGGTACCGCGGCTGCCAAAGCGGGTCACTGGGTGTGAGGTCCTAGAACTTCAGGGAAGCCCAAACACAAGGGGGACGGAGTTGAGAAGAGGAGCAACTCAAAACCAGGAGTTCCTAGGACACCGGAAAGGAAGAGGGGGAATAAGTTGGCTTGGGCAGCACCCGGACGTCAGGGGGCCGGGCGGAGGGGAGTGGTCAAGTCGAGACCAGAAAACTTTGGGCAAAGCGAGGGTTGAGTCCACCACCTTGGCCCAGGCACCGAGCAGGATATTCCTTCCCTCCCCGCAGCCTGGCCAGTACTCGACTCCTTACCGTCCTGCAAAAGCTCCCGCACTGTCGCTGCAGCCGCTCCAGAACCCAGAGCCCCAAAGCCAGCCATAGTGGCGCCGCTGTCGCCACCTTCCATGTTGGCAGGTACCGGGTTGATGGCGTCAGTGAGAGGAGGCCCCGCCCAGGTTGACGCAGAATCCTGGCGCCGCCCGCCTTCACAGACCGCGGCTGTGGCCCGCCTGGTAATCCCAACGCGTCTGACAGACCCTGGCTGGGAGTGGTGTGGGAACCAGAGCCCTYGTGCGCTGAGGACCCGGTGCTCGGCCACGCAGTCTAGGAAGCCGGGTCCGCCCCGGGCTTATTCGCTGTCTCGCTTTGCAGTTCGGAGCCTCGCCCCAGTGGCTGGAGTTGTTCCTCAGACTGAGGAGAAGGTGGGCGCCGGAACGTGACCGTGGCGCATATTTTAGAAAGAAAAGATAAAGCAAGTATTAAACCTAAGAACCCGGGCCTTGCGACGCAGGGCAAGAGACAATAGTGGAGGTTTCTGGGAGCTTCGCTGGCACTGCACCCTCTAGGCAGGCGGGTGTTAGTAACTGCCCCACGCCTTGATTGGCAATCCAGGGATAAAAACAGGCGGGAAAAGCTTGGGAACGAAAGTTGCTAAAGGGTGTTCTAAATTATTTTGTGAATCTAAACTCATTTAATACTCGTAACCACTCAGGTGAGCTAGTCTCACGCTACTGCTCATTATCCTTTGACTTGACTTTATCTCAGAGGGTTTTCCTTAATATAATTTTATCTCAATTATACGAATGGGGTCAGTGTTCTGAGTGAAGGTCACATGAATTGCCTGGGACAGTGTGCTCAGTTTCAAATTATGTTTCATTATCCATAAAAAACCAAACTAGTGTTTTGGCATGTCCCAAACTGCACTCTTTTTTTTTTTTTTTTTTTTGCCTTATGATTCACATAAAGAATAAAAATTCCAGGTTATGTTTTGACGTGCTATTTAGAGTTGTTCTTATAATGGCATTTAATTTTCCTGAATAAAACAGGATATTTCAGAGTACCAGTACCAGACATACACAGTATTTTGTAGGAAATTATTCAAATCAAATACCTTGATTTATCAATGCCAAAGAAAATAAAACGGAAAAAAAAATAATAAAAGTAATATGGTATACTAGAAAAAATCTTGTAGTTTTTCTATCTTGTTTTTCTACAACTATCTCATGTAGTTTTCAACTTTGATTTATCTTAGAAGTAGAATTCTGGGGTATTCCTTTTTTATTATTTATCTTATTTTTTATTCCTTTTAGATATACATGACAGTAGAATGTATTTTGACATATTATACATAATGGAATATAACTTTCTACTTCTAAGGATCTCATCCTTGCGGTTGAACATGATGTGGAGTTATGCGGTTCCTTTATTCATATGTGAATTTAGGAAAGTTGTTAGGAATCATTCTACTTTCTTTCCGATTCCCATTCCCCCTCCCTTTCCTTCATTCCCCTCTGTCTTATCCAATGAACTTGTTTCCCTGCCACCACCACGTTATTGTGTGTTAGCCTCTGCATATCAGAGAGAAGGTTCAACCTTTGATTTTGGGAGATTGGCTTATTTCATTTAGCATGGTCATCTTCAGTTCCATCCATTTACCAACAAATGCCATAATTTCATTCTTCTTTATGGATGAGTAATATCCCATTGTGTGTGTGTGTGAGTGTGAAAGAGAGAGAGTCTATTTAATAATATGAAAAGAGCTAAAACAAATTCTGATCCCACAAACCTGATGAAAAATAAATATCATTGGCAATTGAAATTTAGAATGATGAGAATTCACCTAGAGAAAGGATATTCCGAGTGCAAATGGATTATCTTTTTCAGATTTGAAATAAATCTATATTCATGAAGTGTGACTCCATACAAACTACAAAATGTCAAGAAGGAAAAAAAGATCCAATAGAAATGTTTCATTCTGGGCAGCTGGTGAAAATCTGTGCCCCAATGGTTCGATATTCAAAGTAAGTGTTGTTAAATGTTAATGAACTGAGGCATAATTTCCCTTTTACGTTCTGCCTTTTTTAAGTACTGTAAGACCACTACATGGACTCTTCAATTCCTAGTTTTGGAATCATGATCTAGAAATGACTCCTGGTGCCTAGTATATGTGTGTGTGCGTGTGCCTGAGTAAATCATCTCTGCAAGTGTCACATTTTATGTTTTTATAAATGGTGGCATTTATAACTCCCATCTGTAAGGTATAGTAGATATTAAATGGATATAAACATTTATGCACAGATTTCTGTTTGACTATGTGTCTTGAGACAAATGTATAAGAATGTAATTGCTGGATCATAAGATGTTTAGTTTTTGAAAAAACTGCCAAACTTTTCTAGAGTAGCAATACTATTTGACCCTTCTACCTAGCACCATATGAGAAATCCAGTTTCTCATTCTGACCTACTTTTGATAATGGCAGTGTTTTGGTTTTTTGTTCTTAACTGTTTTAATGGTATATAGTGATATCTCATTGTGTTTCTAATTTCTTCATGTCCTATATGTGATGTTAAACTTCTTTTCATGTGCTTATTTGGCAACTGTATAGTTTTGAGGAAATGTTTCTTAATGCTTTTTGCCCATATCCTAATATTGCTCTTTCACTCTTGTGGTTTTTTAAATTATTATAAAATACATATAATATTTATCTTTTTATAATTTTTATGTGTAAAGTTCAGCACTGTTAATTATGTTCCATATCATGCATCTGATCTCTGAAACTCTCTATTCTTAAAAAACCCTTAAGCAATAACTCCATTCCTCTCCCCACCTAAACCCTGGCAACCATTATTCTGTTTCTCTACTTTTTCTTATGATTCTACTTATCTGAAGTACTGTAGGTGGAATCATATAGTGGTTGAGACTAGTTTTTTTACTTAGCATATTTTCAATGTCCATTCATATTGTAACATATACCAGATTTTTCCTTTCTTTTTTTTTTCAAGGCGGGGGGGGGGGGGGGGCAGGATACCAGGGATTGAATTCTGGGACACTCGACCACTGAGCCACATCCCCAGACCTATTTTGTAGTTTATTTAGAAACAGGGTCTCACTGAGTTGTTTAGCATCTCGATTTTGCTGAGGCTGGGTTTGAATTTAATATCCTCCTGCCTCAGCCTCTAGAGCTGCTGGGATTACAGGCATGAGTCACCATGCCCAGCTCCTTCTGTCCATTGTACATGAATGCTACATTTTCTTTGTCCATTCATTGATCGATAAAATATTGCTTCCATATTTTAGCTATTGCAAATAATGCTGTTATGAACATGGATGCACAAATATCTCAATTCTTTTTGACTATATATTCAGAAGTGGAATTGCTGGATCACATGGTAATTGTGTTATGCTTTTTGAGGAACCTTCATACTATTTTCCATAGAAGCCATACCATGTTACCTTTTCACCAGCATTACACAAGAGTCCTTAATTTCTTCACACCATTGCCAACTCATCATTTTCTGGAATTTTCAAAACTTATCCTATCCCATCCTACTGGGTGTAAAGTGGATCTCATCGTAATTTTGATTTTCATTTCCATAATGGTTAGTGACATGAGCATCTTTTCTTATTGGCCAATTGTATATCTTCATTGTAGAAATATCTACTCAACATTTTGCCCATTTTTGAATAGGGTTTTTTTTAATATTTATTTTTTAGGTGTAGATGGACACAACACAATGCCTTTATTTTTATGTGGTGCTGAGGATGGAACCCAGGCCCTGCCCATGCTAGGCGAGCACTCCACCGCTGAGCCACTATCCCAACCCCGGATTTATATTTTTGTATACTATTAAGTGTTAAGATGTCTTGATATGACTTCTTTGTCAACTATGTGGCTTSCAAATATTTTCTCAGATTATATAGTTTATTCTCTTTACAGGGTGTTTTGCAAAGCAAAAGTTTTTTATTATGATGAAGTCCATTTTATCAGTTTTTCCTTGTATAAATTTTGCTTTTGGTGTCAAGTGTAAGATATCTTTGTGTAGCTCCAGATTCTGAAGATTTTCTCCAAAGTTTTTTCCTAAAAGTTTTTTATAATTTTATGCTTTACTTAAGATCATGATTCAATTATATTGATTTTAATGTAAGTTTGAGAGTTAGATAGTTCTTTTTTTTTCCTAGAAATGTCCAATTACTCTAGCCCTATTTGTTGAGAAGTCTATTTTTACTCGATTGAATTACTTCTGCTACTTCACTAAAAAAAAAAAAAAATCAGTGTTTTGTATTTTGTTTCATTGATTTATGTGTCTATCCCTTCACCATTTCCACAGTATGTGGATTATTTATTGTAGCTATATAATAAGTTTTGGAATCAAGGGACTGATAACCTCCTGATTCTAGTTGCTTTGTTTTCCACTTAATTTTAGAATGATCTTTGTGTATTTACTACAAAAAAAAAAAATCTTGTGGAATTTCCATAAGAATTGGATGAAACCTACATATCAATTTGGGGAGAATTGACATCCTATCTATGTTGAATCTCACAATCCATAAATACGATGTTTCTCTTCATTGATACAGATTTTCTCTGATTTCTTTCATCAGCATTGTGTGGTTTTCAGCATACAAGTTCTGTACATCTTTTGGAAAACTTAGCATCAGTTTTGTTGTTGTTGTTGTTTATGGTATTATTTTATTTTTAGTTTTGGTGTCCATGTGGTCATTACTAGTAGTATATAGAAATACAATTAATTTTTGTATGTTGATCTTATATCCTACAAAGTTCTTGAGCCCTCTTCCTAATTCTGAGAGTTTGTTTTGTTTGCTATTTGTAAATTCCTTGGGATTATATAAACAACCGTGTCATCTACAAACAGATTTAGTTTCTTCATTTTGGTCAGTGCCTTTCATTTCTTTCCCATGCCTTACTTATTGCACTGATCTAGAAGTTCCATCTATATGTTGAATGTGAGTGATGAGAGCAGACATCCATTCCTTTTTCCTATTTAGGAGGAAAGTGTTCTGTCGAATTTTTTGTGAATATTCTTTTTCAAGTTAAGGAGTTTCCCTCTATTTCTGTTTTTCTGGGAATTTTTTTTTATCACGAATGAGTGTATCTTGTCAAATGCTTTTTCTGCTAAACTCATAATTATTTTTTTTCTTTAGCATATTAATATGATAGTTCATACTGATGGATTTTGAATATTTAACCTTCTCTAGCAGGCAAAGGTGGGGAGAAGGGCACCATCTCCTTGCTGTCAGTAGTAAGTCTAGGTTCTTGGCATCCTTGTTGCTGTAGGAAGGCATGAGAGTTCCAATTCCTTTTGGTGGGGGTGGCCTCATAACTACTGGGCAATACTAAAAGTCCTGGCTTTCCACATGGTCTCTGACAACACACCCAAGGAAGAGAGTGCCTTATTACTGCTGAGTAAACATGGAAGTCTGTGCTCCTCATGTGGTCTACACTACTACCACTAAAATTGGGGCCCTCACAGGTCAATAGGGATGAAAGTCTCAGATCCCTACCAGGTCCTCTTGAACACCACCACTGTGGGATGTTGGAGCACCTTGTTACAACATTGGAGGGGGGTAGAAGTCCCCGCTTGACCTTTTCTAGTGGAGGTGAGGCCATAGCTTTTTTCTGTAATGTTTGACTGAATTTGAACCATTACCATAAAAAAGTTTTGTGTCATGCTTGGCTTCCCCTTTCCTGGTATTTTAACTAGACGGACTTTCGTAGGCTATTCAGCACCCACTGGTGATTCCAGATCAGCTTCTTCAGTCCCAAGGCTGGGGTATTTGAGTTTATAAAATTGAAGGAGCTTACACCTCTTATTTTAACCTGGCAGCCTCTTTTAACTTTTCAGAATTTCCTGTGTTTATTTTACATATAATATAAAGGGTTTTTAGTTATATTTAGTAGGAAGAATAGGAAAAAATACAGCTACTCTGTCTTCTCATGGACAGAACTCTCCCTAATAAATATTTAATAATCAAGTAAATTAAACTTATAAATAGATATGATTATTGGTGTTTTCTAAATGCATAATTTAAGTTTTATATGCTCACAGGTTGGCTTTTAGAACACTAGTAAGAAAATACTGTTGTGATCTGTGTTATACACCAATGATAGTTGCTGCTGATTTTGTCAGATCTATAAAAGCCAGAGACAGTGAATTTACCACAAACCAAGGTATGTGAAACCCATAGTTTGTTTACTTTGTAAAACTTACCAAAAAAAATTTTGTTTGTAACTCAGCTACTTATCTAATCAGACACAACATATCTTAGTTTATATGATAAAATCCTTTCTTTTTTTTKTTGTTGTTGTTGTTGTATTTGGACACAATACCTTTATTTTACTTATTTTTATGTGGTGCTGAGGATCGAACCTAGGACCTGGCACATGCTAGGCACGTGCTCTACCACTAAGCCACAATCCCAGCCCCAAAATCCTTTCATTTTTAAATGGCTTTAGTATTTTACATATAATACAGAGAGCTTTATAGGTTATTGGTGATCTACCAAAATATATGGTCATCCTTTCTTCAGGTGTCCAGCCTCTCCCCTGGACTATCAGAATCGGTCTCCGTCTTACAGTCTATAGTGTTGTACCATTCCAAACTATCTCCATACTGCTCAAAGTGACCTATCTAAAGTGTCAATTTGACAGTATGAACAACAGTAAGATCTTGTCTCAAAAAAAAAAAAGGTAATGAAAGTTTTTAGGCTTCACCCCAATCCTACTGAATCAAAAACTATGGGTCCTGCAATCTGTTTTGAAAAGTGTTCAAATAATTCTGAACTTGCCAAAGTTTAAGAATCCTTGACTTAAAGACTAAAATTTCTGCACCTGAGGATAAGATGCCAAGTCCTTCATGACCTACTAGCCTGTGAATAAATCTTCTGCAGCCTTAACTTCCATTAGTTTCTTCCCATAGCCCACAACTTTATTCTTCAAAAATACTACATTAGGGTTGGGGTTGTAACTCACTGGTAGAGCACTTGTGTAATATGTATGAGGCACTGGGTTCAATCATCAGCATCACATAAAAAAATAAAAAAATTTAAGTTATTGTGTCCATCTACAAGTAAAAATATTTTTTAAAAAAAACACTACATTATTTTATGTGTCTGAATATACCTTGTTCTCTCACACTTCCCTACCTAGAATATTGCACCTGTAATGTTAGTGACTTGGGAGCCTAAGGCAAATTACAGTTCATGATTCTTAATTCAGTATTCAAAGTTTGTAGCCAGGGAACCTTTCCTAATCATTCTCCACTTGTGCCCTATCTCCTTTTATTGCACTTAATCCTACTTTTTATAATATCTTCATTAATTGTGCTACTCTTTCCCACTAGATGATGGGTTCTTTGAGGGCTCAAGCTATAAACATAGCTTGATGTTTGTCCTCAAGAACTAACACAATGTGAAATCTGCCCAATAAATGGTTGTTAAGTTGAAATTCTATAACAAAGTAGAAAAGGGAACAGCACCCTATGCCCACATGAATAAAAAAGCAAATTCTACCCCATCATAATCACAAGTCAGTGGATTGCCCTAGAGATCTTGAATCAGTACAACTATGGCGATGTCCAGAAATTTTTATAAACACCCATTGAATCTTATATTGGTAGTCCTCAGAAAAATTTAGATCTATTCAGAGTTTATCATGTTCTTTAAAACCTAGGAAAGCTATGATATCTTTAGCTACATTAAAATTTAAACTTTTATATATAAATATACAAATAGAGATAAAGAACTAGAAAAATAAAAACACTCTGATTAATAGTAAAACTAATTTATTTTTTAAATTACAAATGATAGTAAAAAAGGAATAACTAATAGAATTACACAGAAAAATTTACAAACATGAAAAGAGCTCACAAAGATATACAAATGTTAAGATATGCACTGTAGGATAAGTTGTGAAGAAAGAACCATATTGCTATGTATCAGTACTGATAAACTCTTGCAAGATAATTTTGTAATATCTGTCAATGTTAAATGCCTATTCAGCAGTTATACATCTAGTAATTTATCCATTCTATGAATATTTTAACAAAAAACATAAATGCAAAACTATCCCTATTGTAGCTGTATTTGCAAGAGCCACAAATAAGAAGCAATCTAAATTGTGTATGGTTTATCTGTACAGTGGAATATTAGAGAAATTACATCTGAGTACATATCACAGATCAAGAAAAGTAGAGTGGTAGGCATAGCAACGTATGTGGAATTGTTCACATTAATTTGTTTACATATAAAAGGTTTACATATAAAATTGCTGAGATATAATAAACTAACTCCCATATTTAGGAAGTGGGTCTTTTCGTCAAAAAGTACTGGAATACTTTTAATTTCATCTAATTTTGTGCTGTTTGAATATTTGTGTAAATTTATTTCAATTTTAAATAAATCTTTTTGAATATTACCTTATTTGAATAGATGTTCCTTGTGCTAAAAATATTTATTGCTATTTTATCCTGTACAAACATTAGAGTTTCCTGTGTGTGTGTGTGTGTGGTTTTTTCCTATGGGTTTTAATGTTGAGCTATTCATTTTATCAGGTGATTGCCCATTGATTGTTCAGTTTGCTGCCAATGATGCAAGACTTTTATCTGATGCTGCTCGCATAGTCTGTCCTTATGCGAATGGAATAGACATTAACTGTGGTTGCCCTCAGAGGTAAAGCTCAAAGAAGTTGGAAGAGTTTTCAAAAAGATTAGAAAAAACTTTATGAACATGGTAAAATTTCTTTCTAGTTTTCCAAAAATTAAAAAGTAAGAACATAGAATTAAACTACCAGGATTCTACAAAAGAAGGAAGGAAAAAATATTTAGAAACATAAATTCAAAGATCTATCTGATGACCGAAATGATGTGTAGACCTTTGAAAAGTATTTTGTCTCCCCTTATCAATAACATTTTTGTGTAGATCTGCTTGAACCTTATCCAAAATTATATGAGAAATGTAGCGACTACAATAATCCCTAAAATGTATTTTACTATCATGTGATATATATTCTTGCTCTAAAAAGTGTTTCTATGATTTGATAGAAACTGCCTATTTTCTTCTTATTTTCCTTAAAAAAATACCTTATTATAATCATTCTTTTCTTTTTTTTTTTTCCTTTCTCATGCCAGAGTTATTTGGTTGGGTTTAAGTAACTGGATTTGAGTAAGCTGTACTTAACTTGCCAACAGTATACTAGCTTATCTGTCAATTCAAAATGCATCCAAAGAATTAAATCAAGTTTTTAAGTGCATCATAATCCAAACCAGATTAGATGTATTGTATACTCATTAGAAGAGTTAAAGAAGCTATTTAGTGCTGTAAGCCAAAAATTTTGAAACTTAATAAAACCTCTTGTTATGTACAATAAGCATCAAATTTGGAATTTAAAATATCTGAAGTAATCGCAGTTAATTACAAATATTTTAATCTGTTTTGGTTGAACTAATTCTAATTTAGTATTCTGATTTGCCAACGGAAACTATTTCCCTGGAGTTGTTTGGTTTGGTTTTGATCTGGTAACATGTTTTCCGTATCATTGTCTTTTTTTTTTCCCATAGGTTGTTTTCCTAATCTTATTGATCTATGAGTTTTTAAAATCTGATTCATTCCAGATCACTAAATAAAGAAATATACAAATACATTTACATTTCAGTGCTTTTTAAATTTTTATCTTCTCTTCCACCTGTTTGTAATTCATTTGTTATTGTGTTTGTTTTACGAAGGTGGGCAATGGCAGAAGGTTATGGAGCTTGCTTAATAAATAAGCCAGAGCTTGTTCGAGATATGGTGAAGCAAGTAAGAAATCAAGTGGAAAACCCCAAATTTTCAGTTTCTATTAAAATAAGGTAAAGTCAATATTTTAGTCTGTTGACAAAATAATCTAATGATTAAGAATTAAAAGAATATTTCTTTTGTTTGGTGATTTGGGAATATCTGTCCTAAATAAATTGGTAGTTGGTTTATGGAATTTTTGAAACAATACATTTAGTAAACAAATATATACCCTTCTGTTTATAATCCTGAACACCTTTTTTTTTAACAAAAATTAAACCACCCTTTATTAAAAGATTTCACCATTCCCTCAACTTTTTCCAAGTTCTCTTTAATTAACACTAAAGAAATATTCCTAGCACCAAGAATAAAAATGAAAAGATATTTGCACTAAAATATTACAATAAAAATAAACTACAGTAATGTGTTTTTGGTGAAAAGTTGAAAACATATTTAACAGATAAAGTAGTATGTTCTTCCACTTGGGGATTAGGGCAATCATATCAAATCTTGACCCATTATGTTCCACAGTCCTAAATAAAATTGAAAACTTTGGACTTAGTGGGTTAACGTAGCATCTTTCACTTTATCTATCTTAGTATTTTGATGACTCTTTCATTATCAAAGCCAAAAGGGAGAAGCAATAGGTAAGATAAAACTCATTTGTTGTCCTGTTGTTGCCAATGGCAAAGTAAATAAATTTGAGGTCTTGGCTGGGAATAATCCCTGAAAAGATCCTTCCTGATAGTGGCATGACATTATAACATAACTAAACAATGTAGTATATAAAATACCATTTTTTAGTGAATTTTAGTATTAAGATTTGTTTGATATGAACAGATAGGTATAATTTTGAAATTGTAGGATCCATGATGACCTTACCAGAACCGTAGATCTTTGTCGAAAGGCTGAAGCAACTGGAGTTTCCTGGATTACAGTCCATGGAAGAACTGTTGAAGAAAGACACCAGCCAGTCCACTATGATGCCATTAAAATAATAAAGGAAAATATGTCTATACCTGTAATTGCTAATGGAGATATCAGGAGTTTAAAAGAGGCTGAAAATGTGTGGCAGATTACTGGGACAGATGGTAAGAAAAAAGTGCTTTGTTTATCTTTTAATTAGGAAAAAAAAGGATAAGGTAGTAATGTTAATTTGATTTTCATTATTTTCTTTTAATATTGGGCTACATTTTCCCAKCATACTGAGTTAAGCTAAGCAGTCTATTAAAATGCTATTTATTCTCCTGCTTAGAAACTATATTATTTTAATGGGGATAAATTAAGTTACTTGTCTTCCACCATCATATCTAGTGACTAATTAGGAATTTTCCCAATAACCTATTAGTAAAAAAAAAAAAAAAAAAAAAAGCATCTGGAATAGAATGGAGTTAATAAACTCAGGAGTAATCAGAGAAGCCAAAGGAACCCTATGTGGTTTCATTATCCTTTAAATTATTGTATACCAAGCGAAGCACTGTAATAATTTACCATAGGGGAGAATGCAGATAAACTTTAACTGAAAACCTTCTGATTTATGACACTGTGGGTTTACCCTAAAGAAAAACTAAAAACTAATTTTGTAATGTAGAAGCCTTAAAAAATGAAGAACTTAAATACATTTAATTTCATTCATTTTCAAAAGGTACTAAAATAAAATATTTTAAATTATTGAATTAAACAGACTAATGTAAATAGAGCATTGTGAAAATCTTTAGTCATAACTTGTTTTTTAATATTCTACATTTGTTTCATTGAGTTTGAACTAATAATCATGGGCACTTAAGGTATGGACAAACATGGTCTGCTTTAATTTGTAGGTGTGATGGTTGCAAGAGGACTCTTAGCAAACCCAGCCATGTTTGCTGGATATGAGGAAACCCCATTGAAATGCATCTGGGACTGGGTTGACATCGCTCTTGAACTTGGAACTCCTTACATGTGTTTCCATCAACATTTAATGTACATGATGGAAAAGATAACTTCAAAGCAGGAAAGAAGAGTATTTAATGCACTGTCAAGCGCATCAGCAGTCTTAGATTACCTTACAGAGCATTATGGCATTTGACTGGACTTCCTAAATTATATTAATATATACTCTGTTTTATACTTTATAAAATATAAGGTTGCATCTTTGTTTTTACTTTAAATCAGTGGCTCTAGGTCCAAACGCAGGCAAACTGTTCAGAATCTTGTTATGGTTGGGGGAGGAGGGTTTCTCTAAAGGAAATGTTTTTAACATTTTTAAATAAAAACTTTTTATTTTAATACTAACAAGGTATGACATATAATATCTGTACCTTAACAAGAAGTACATTTTTGATAAAAGTAAGTGCAGAGTTCTGGTAGAATAAAAGCTAAAATCATATAAAATGAACAAGAAACTCTTAAATAGAATTATTCTCAGGACTTAACATTAAAATTTAAAATTGGAATGTCAAACTGGTACACTTTCTAGTTGAATTTTACACCTCAWGATATTTGTTTTAAATTGTACGTAACAAAAAATTATTAGATATGTTATCTGGAATTTAGAACTAAGATTGCATGGAATTCTAATTTTTTATTTTTAGTTATACATGACAGTAGAATGTATTTTGATATACATATGTGGCATACAACTTCTGTTCTTCTGGTTGTATATGATATGGAATTAAATTGATCGTGAAGTCAGATGTGAACTTTGGAAGGTAATGTCCAATTCATTCTACTAGCTTTCCTTTTCTCATTCCCCCTCCCTTCATTTCCCTTTGTCTAATCCAAAGTACTTTTATTCTTCCCTTCTTCCCCCCCACCTCATTGTTAGTTAGCATCCACATATCAGAACATTCGACCTTTGGGTTTTTTTGAGATTCTCTTATTTCACTTGGCATAATAGTCTCCAATTCTATCCATTTACTGGCAAATGTCATAATTTCATTTCTCTTTCTGGCTGAGTAATATTCCATCATGTATATATACCACATTTTCTTTAATCCATTCATCTGTTGAAAGGCACCTAAGCTGGTTCCGTAGCTTAGCTATTGTGAATTGAGCTTCTATAAACATTGATGTGGCAGCTTCACTGTAATATGCTGATTTTAATTCTTTTGGGATTTATACTGAGAAGTGGGATAGCTGGGTCAAATGGTGGTTCCATTCCAAGTTTTCTGAGGAAATCTCCATACTGCTTTCCAGATTGGTTGCACCAATTTTCAGTCCTACCAGCAATATGTGAGTGTACCTTTTTCCCTACATCCTTGCCAACATTTTTTGTTACTTGTATTCTTGATAATTGCCATTCTGATTGAAGTGAGATGAAATCTCAGTGTAGTTTTAATTTGTAATTCTCTAATTGCTAGAGAGGTTGAACATTATTTCATATATTTGTTGACTGATCGTATTTTTTGTTCTGTGAAGTGCCTGTTCAGTTCCTTTGCCTAGATTTCATGGAATTCTTTAATATTAGACTTTGTGCATTTTAAGCCTTCTAGATCCTTAGAAGATTGCAAATTCGATAAACACTCCTGAATCTAAAAAGATTAAAAGTAATTGTGTCCCCTCACATCTTAACTATAAAAAAAAATTCGTAGCTAATGATTACATATCTCCAAATAGTATTTATCCAGAGAAATGATATATTTCTCTACTATTCAGTAGAGAATAGTAGCTAGATTTTAATTTAAAAACAACTTTTCATATTTTGTTATTAGTGACATTATTTTTATGCCTCTCTGTAATTGATAATTGTAATTTAAATTCCCATGGTTTGAGAGTGTTACTAATAGATTTTGTTATTGGTTAATGTGAGTACAGAAGTATTTCAGTGAAAATAATTTATACCTCAAATATTCTTTATGACCAACACAAAAAATTAAGGAGTTCTCTAAACCTGTTTATTCATTAATTCGAGTTTGGGAATATTAAATGAATCAATTTGAACATGAACACTAAACTGCCACATTTTTTCTTCTATGCTTTCACTTCTCAGTTACTGAAATTTTAATAGAATAGAAATAATATATTAGCAAACAGGGACATATATATCATTTTGATGTCGGTAAATTAACTTTGGAGTGAATTACACTAACTTAAGCACAGCAGCACCACTAGAGTTAAGATGCACAGCATAGGGAAGGTACCAGTGTTCCAAGAGTCAGGTATTGGGTTAAAAATAACTTCCTTATGGTTAATTTGTGTTCAAAGTCCTTCCCCACACACACACTTCTTCCTGTTTATATATGGTCAAGTCTATATGTAATTAAGAAGAAGCACCGACTTAAATGTGTTGTACATTGTGTAATTATTCTCAACATTTGTTTAATGGTCCCAAAATAACTGTCTCTGAGAAGTGATACTTTATTTACATTCCTGATACGTTGTCAATACAGGGAAAAAAATCTTAAAACCTGGGAAATGTATAGTGAATAAATACGGCCACCTTTTCTGGGTCCCCAAAGAACACCTCAAAGGGTATTGCCTTTTCCTAGACCATGGAAAAGAACTGGGAAAACGGACAGAATATGTTGTAATGCTACAGATTCTCCTGTGGTTTCAAAAACAATGCTGCACGACCACCCAGTCTTGGCTCTTGTACACTTTAATTCTGGACACTTGAAAGTTTTAACCTCCGAGAAAGCCCCAACTGGAAAAGAGTTCGCCGCAGACACTGGGTTTGCGCAGCCCACTTTAGTGGTTTCCAGATCTGGGCCTTCGCAGCTCCTCCAAAAGCGGTGGCGCGCTGGAGAAACGCGAGCCCGCCCTCCGGAAGAAGTTACACTTGCGAGCCCCGAGCCTGAGTCGTCTTAGACTCCATCGCCAATTAGGAAACAATTATTACCAATAAACGTGGCCTCGCCGCCGGTGACCTTAGCAGGACGGCAGCCTAAGACGGGGAGAAGCCGGCTCGCTCGCCACTCCCCCTTCCCTGCCCCCCACTTCTCTCCCACTCCCCTCCCCCTCCCCGTCGCGGCGTCTGACGTCCCGCGCGTCGGGGCGGCGGAGCTGCGCGGAGAGTCAGGCGGGCCGTAGCGCGGTAAGGCCGGACAAGACCCGCGGGCCGCGAGGCTGTGGGCTAAAAAACCCAGCGAAGCCGGCTGGCCCGTGGCTTTCGGGGGGCGGGAGGGCCGCAAAGCGTTAGAGGAGGGAGGCGTTGGACTGTAGGTGCAGCGGCCGGCCAGAGAGGAAGTCATTGGCGCCCTTTGGCCGCCTCTAGGGTTCCGCGCGGCTCGCCGAGGAGGTGGAGACGCCCGGGCGGGTCTCCTCCGGTCTAGTCCCGTCTCTTCCTGTCCGGTCCATTCCGGGGTGTGTGCGCGGCCTCGGTTCAGCCCTCTGACGAAGCAGTGTGCCCCGGGGCCTTCAGCCCAGTTTTCTTTCAAATGAAGTAAAGTAAAATAAATGTTTCTCCGTTCAGGTGTGAAGAAAAAAATGACAATCCAATGGGTGGCAGTTGCAACCTTTCTTTATGCCGAAATAGGACTCATTTTACTCTTCTGTCTACCTTTTATTCCTCCTCAGAGGTAGGAAACTTTCAAATCTTAAAAATACTAAATATTGGATTAGCTCCTTTAGGCTGCAGTGTGATACGGAAAGGTTTTCTTAAGATTGAAAAGTTTTCAGAGCCCGCTGTGCAAAGGGTATTCTTTTAAAAACTTACTTAACAGATTGGAACTGTTTCATGACAATATCTATTTAAAATTTATAAAACTTTATTATGTGTACAAATGATAATTTTTTCCTCCCTTCTCAAAGGAAACAAGCCGAGTGGGAGTACTTCTGATTCTGTTGATTACATACTTTTGATACTTGCCCTGTCTTGTCATGAGGTTTTACCTTTGTTTTATTGCCCTGAATTGAAGCAGTGAAATAAAAAAAAAATTATATTTACAATACAGCATGTATTTTAAAAAATGTTAAATTGAGGCAGTGGAATGGCAACTTAGAAACCAAAGCCTGTAAGTTCTTTAGTTTTGGCATTATGTAAACTATGTAAATTGATGGCGTTTTATTACTTTTTATTCCACTCAATGTATTAAAAGGGCCAAATGTGAAAGCTATCAGACAATGTATTAACATTATTTCTTTAGTAAAGGACCTTTTAAGATCTTTAAGAACAGAAATTTCAACCCAAGCGTTAACACACTTTACCTTTAATAATCTATTCATTAGGGGGTTAGTTTTAGATCCAGGAACTTGATGGTATGGATAGTAAGGAACTTGATGGTATGGATAGTAAAACAGATTTGTAATAAAATGTTGCAAGATATTTGTTTATACTCATGACTTACAAGAAAATATTTCATAAGTGAGATCCTAAAAATATCTTCTTAAACTACACTGTAGTAAAATAATGGGACTGGATGAAACTTTAGAAAGTTTTACCATGGCTGGAGGTCTAGGTAGTCTTTCACAACTCTACTTGCTCATTATCTACCTGGTTCAACTCACTTCTGTCTTTGCCTATCAACGTTGTTTTGTTATTGGTGGTTTTTTTTTTTCCTTACTAAAGAGAATAATCATATTGTAAGTGGGGAGGGAATCTTCAGTTATCTCATCCAACCCAACTCATTCCTTAGATCACATACTGAGACCCAGAGAAGGCAAATGGCCTAACCAAGATCACCTACGTGGTCAGCAGCAAATTCCAAACAAGAATCTTGCTTTCAGTCCAGTGCTGCTTCTTCATCATACTGCCTCTCATTTTAAACCCTCCATAATGCCTCTTTTGATTTTTGTTAGTATTTGCAGCAATGGACTTCTATATATTCAAAATTTGCTTCATTTATATATACAAGAGAAAAATCTTGTTTGGGAACATCCAATATACAAGTAAGGCTTGAAGATTTGCAAAGAAAAAAAAAAAACAGTGCTGCTTCAGTTGATCTTTCTCCATCAAAGTGATTCATAATTTGAGATCAGCCTTTTTCTTTCTTCCAAATATTTTTTATATCCATCAGGATCAAGTAGCTGTTACATTGATGTGGGTGTTTGGGCACATGATATATAAATATTCTCATGTACAAATACACATAAGAAAATATGGCATATTTACACACAAATAACTTATACTATGTCCCTTTGTGTATACACATCTTTTGACCTTTTATATGTGTATCTTCATAATCTTCAACAAAAAAGTTTTGGTCTTTTCTCATATAACCCAGTCATAAAAGGCACAGGCTCAAAATCACTCTGGTATTATTTATTAACTGTGACATTGGGCAAGTTATTGACTCTCCACCTAGTTTCCCCTTCTATAAAATAGAAATAGTACTGTCTATTATATAATATTATATTATATAAAAGTATATTATATAATAAGACCTCTTACTCCTGAAGTGATAATGCCTCATATGGTAATTGTATTAATTAAGTAGGATAGCTGTGTAGGATTGCTTAGAATCAATAATATAGCAAGGTTTAGGTGCTCTTGAATTGAGTCTTCCTATTAATTGCTGGTTGTTCCGTATAGAGAGTCACTTCCATTCCCTCTTGTATTGACCTTTGAAATGAAGTTAAGTGAATTTACATTTGGACATAGATCAAAGTATTACCACTTATGTTCTTGTTTTAAAAGAGTTTTGTAATATAAAAGATTTGTAATATAGAATTTGAATAGCACCTGTATAAAAATACTTAATTCTAAGTATAGAACTAAGTATAGAAGTATATTCTTAGAACTAATTTAGAACAAATAAAAAATTAAATAAAAAGAAAGTATAGAGGCAAAAATTGTTCCATCTGTTATCAGTCCCTTTTCCCATCAACTTCAAGTCATTAATATTTAGAGTTGTTTACAAATTTTACCAGTGAATAATTTGTCGTAATCTTAAATTAAAATTCTTTTTAAAGATTATAAGTTGCTTGAAATGTATTTAATGCTTCCTACCTTTATTTGTCTCCTTTGGACTCAGTTAATGTGTTTTTTAATTTAAAATCCTCTTATACAAAGTTTGTTACCTTTCAAATTATAAGATGGATCATTTTGTCACTCTTTGCCATTTATTGCTCATTCCTTCTTAACTCTTGTGTTTACTTCTACTGCCTATTCCACCTAGACTGTTTCCCTCATCTCATTCTTCTGTGTTCAGATCTTGATCTGGGTTGTAGGTAAATTACATAGATATAAACATATGTAAAAATTTATCAAGCTATATAAGATTTTTTTCACTTTTTTATATATTTAGTACCTCAATTTTTTAAATTCTCTCATGATTAAAATAGAGAAACATCTTTATTTGGAGTAGATATTAAAAGTACACTATATAAAAATAAATATACAGAGAAACTTCTTACTCCTGAAATGGTCTAATTTTTGGACCAATAGACTTTTGTCATTTCTGAGTCATCACTCTGACTAGGAAAGATGATATAAATAGCTTTGATCAACAATACAACATTTTACTGTTAAGAATTCCTTTTTTTAATTGGGTGTGGTGGTACACACCTATAATCCCAGCTGCTCAGGAGGATGAAGCAAGATGATCTCAATTTTAGGGACAGCCTGGGCAACATTGCATTACTGTATCCAAAAAAACAAAGCCTTTTTTTTTTTTTAAGCTGCCAGACAGAAGATAATCAAATGTCAGATTATTATTAAATTTGAGAGAGTTCTCTATTTCATAAATATCAAATTTCTCTATTTCTTTTTTTCTATCTTTATTTGTATCCCTTGGACTCAGTTGATGGACCTTGATTTTATTTATTTCTATGCAGTGGTGAGGATTGAACCCAGTGCCTCACACATTAGGCAAGCACTGTACCACTGTTCCACAATCYCAGCCCTCTATTTGTTTTTACTTGTCACACTACCACAAAAATGTTACTTATTTAGAAAGTATTTCAAAACCACCTTTTTTTAAAAAAATATATACCTAATATATACCTATATTGCTTTGCAGATGGCAGAAGATTTTTTCATTTAATGTTTGGGGTAAAATTGCAACTTTTTGGAACAAGGCTTTTCTTACCATTATAATTCTATTGATTGTTCTGTTTCTAGGTAAGTACTAGTACTGATCCCTCCTTTGAATAAGCATAACTCTAGTTGTTTTTTAATGAATTTCTTGATTTTTAGTTATGTTGATGTTGATATTGGCATGTAGTTGAATTTATATATTATATTGATAGATATTGATTTTTTGCCACAATTTTTATTGGTCCACTACAGTTGTACATAATAATGGGATTTGCTGTTACATATTTGTACATACAGTATAACAATATAATTTGGCCAGTGTCACTCCTCAGCACTTCCTCCCACCCATTGTTCCCTTTCTTCTATGGATCTCTCTTTGATACTCAAGTTTATAGCAGCACAATTCACAATAGCCAAATTAGCCTAGGTGTCTGTCAACAAATGAGTGGTTAAAGAAAATGTGACATGGGCTGGTGGTCAGTGGTAGAGCACTTGCCTGGCATTTGCGAGGCACCAGGCTCAATCCTCAGCACCACATTAAATAAATAAAGATAAAGGTATTGAAATTATGCCATTTGCAGGATGGAACTTGTTAAGCTAAATAGGTCAAACTCAGAAGGTCAAGGGTCATATATTTTTCTCATATTTGGAAGCTAGAGAAGATAAAAGAAAAAGGTGGGGTGGATTTCTAAAAATCAAGAGGAGATCAGCAGATATTGATATTTTGATACACATTTGATATTCTGTATACAGAGGCATTAATTTCAGGGAAGTACAGGGATTCTTATTAACCTCTTACTTTATTTGAAGGTTAAAATGCAATAATGCATATCCCACTTTTCAGAGTTATCAGATACTGTTTCTCATGGCATCCAGTTATACACTCCTCTGTTAAAGTGGTATTCTAAGCATCCAAGGGCTCAGCTGYTAGGGAACAAAGAAATAGAATCTTTAAACTCTCAAAAGGAATCTTAGATGTGGACTGTGCATCTTGATTAAATCCTGGTTAAAAAAAAATGATATCACCACAGATTTAGAGACTACTGCCAAAATTTGAACTTACAGTAATTGTTAGATGTTAGGGGTTTTGTTTCTGTTTTTGTTTTTTGTTTGTTTTGTTTTGGGKTTTTTTTTTATTTATGATAGCAACGTTTTTGTATTTCAATTTACAGCTTATGGATCCGAAGCCAATTTTTGTTAATAAAGTTTTATTGAAACATTTCCATTCCTATTTGTTCTCATATTATCTATGCCTATTTCCACAGATAACTGCAGAGCTGGATAGTTGTATCGATAAGATCTAAAACAAAACTCTATTTTAAAAAATTACTAATTTATGTAGGAAGAAAGACAGATATGGCAGATTGTTAATAATTGTTGAATCGATGTAATGGGATTATAAATGTTTTTTGGAAAGATTGAGCATCCTTAATTTGAAAATTTTAAATCTAAAATATTCCAAAATCTGGAACTTTGAAGACCAACATGACACCACAGTGGAAACTTCCACATCTGACCTCATGTGTTGGAGTCAAAACACAAACACACACACACACACACACAAATGAAAAACGAAAATAGGAAGAACACCATTAGAGTATAAGAAGGGGATCAAGAGGGAGGGAGGCAGAGGGGGGGAACAAATTTGTCAAATTATGCTATATTCACATATGAATATACCACAATGGACCCACTTATATATATATATGATTATAATACATTATAATAATAGAAGGGAGAAATCAGTACAGCAAGCAAATTGGGGGAGGAGAGAAAAGGGAAGGTGGTGAGGACTGAGATTGATCAAATTATATGCATATATAGAGAGAGATATAACAAATCCCACTAGTATGTATCATTATAATGTGCCTATTACAAATAATTTTAAAACCTAAGCAAATTGTATGTAATTGGCTTCAGGCTATGTGCATAAGGTTTGTATAAAAATTAAATGAATCTCATGTGACTTTAAAATATCTTAACATGTACATGCAAATATTTAAAATGAGTAAATCCCAAATACTTCTGAATATAAGCATTTCAGATTAAGGACATTCTAACTGGTGATAGTTTTCAGCATGTTTGAAATTTTTATTTTAGAAGTTAAAAGGGCTTTAAAGTTTTTAATCAAAACAAATTCTGTAAGTCTTCATAATCACCATGTTTTTTAGAAGTAACTGAGTTCAAACAGACTGTGAATTTTGTCTCAAAGTGTTATAAAAAATAAATTCAAATGATTGTCAAAATGGCCTCAATTTTCAAACTGGAATCTCTTTTCTCATGTGGCAAAAACTTCCCCAGGAATGCTAATGGTCACATGATGGGAGCATTCGAACTTGTTGTACCTCTTTTGGCTTTAAAACATTTAAGATGGTTGCCTTCTCTAGAACATGAAAGAATCCAGTGATTAAGAATAACTAAATAACTATGAAATTCTAATTTTAAAATGCACTAAACATATGTGCTGGTATCTATTTTGCACTAGAAAGAAATAGTTCCCCTAGAACTGAGACCTGTCAGAACTGAAAAAATCAAAGGAACAACTATTTGAAAATTTCCAGTAATAGGTGTAATCCAATTGTTAGTCAGGGAAGTATATGCCACCATATAGATGTATAGTATATGCCACCATAGATCAAATCCCATTTTAACAAACCTGTTAAATATTTCTAAAATTGTAGTTATTTAAAGTAATAGTAGCTACTAAAAATGCTAATACTATAAGAAAAATAGGATCATCTCTTGGAGTTGATGGTAATGGGATATTGCATTAAATTACTGTCAATAGGTGAAATTTTCGTCATTCTTAAGGATAGAGTAAAAGGTAAAAGTTTGTAGTATAGCTAGAAAGACAATACAATGACCAATGACAGTCCATGCTGGATTATTTTTTTAATGCTATAGTAACCTACCAAAATTATTGAACTGATCCAATCAGAAATATACCCAATTTAAGTATTATATATCCCAAAACTACAGAGATGTAATCATTTGACGAATGTCCATTATGTAATTCTCGGCTTGAAAAAAAAAATCTACAAAAGACATCTTGGGGACAAATGAAAAGCCAGATAACCCAATTCAAAAATGAATGAAGGAACTAAACAGACATTTCTATAATGTCTAATCTATCACAATCACTACTTGCTTACCCTGCAGGTGCTAAAAAAGGAAAGAGAGCCCCCTACATAAAGTCAATTATTAAAAAGTTTGATCAGTTACTCTAAAACTGCTTCTCTTTCTTTAATGATTTTATATTCTTAAAAACAAAGTATTTTCTCTTTTACTATAATAGATGCTGTGAGAGAAGTAAGGAAATATGCCTCTATTCATACCATTGACAAGAGCTCAACTAGCAAACTTGGTGCCTATGAACATACACAGATGAAACTTTTTAGGTCTCAAAGAAATCTTTACATTTCTGGATTTTCATTATTTTTTTGGCTGTAAGTAAAAAAAAAAAAAAAGTTGAATCACAATTTTAACACATTGTTTAGTTTTCTTTCTCTCTGTCACTTTTTCCACATATGTGAAGACTTTTTTTTCACTAACATCTTCATAAAGGAACTCAGGTGAAATAACCAAATGGCAAGTAATTGTTACTGTTTATAGGTTTGCTAATTCCATAGGACCTTGCTTGATCTGGCCCCTGTCTCTCTCTGTCTAGCCTTTCTTTCTACTCTTCTCTAATACTTACCATACATTCCAGCCACACTCACCTTCACTATTCACTCATTCTTAGAACAAATGAGTTGTGGTGTAGCCAGCTCCTTTCCATGTTAGGGTCTTCACACAAGCTATTTCTTCTACCAGAACACCCTTTCCTTTCCCTGTTTTCCTTTCCCTTGCTCATTCTTTAGACTTTCTCAGAGAAGCCCCCTGTAGCCATCAGTCCCCCAAAAAGTAGGTAGGACTTCTGTTATATTCTCTCTTACATGTATATACTTTTGTTCCTAGTATCATTTACAATTGTAATTAAATACTATTTTGGTCCTCCAACTAGAACCTAAACTCTTTGAAGGCAGGGACTTAATTCATTTTTAGCTGTGTCCCGAGTGCCTAGCATAGTGTTTAATACTTAGCAGTTCCTCAGTAAATATCACTGAATGAATAATTGAAGAGATCAGTTATAATTTCTAACAATGGAAGTTACCATGAACAGATGTGAATGAGCAGTTTTTAGGCTCTGTCAAATGTATATAATGCCTTTAAATACCACTTTTGAACTGGTCAGAAAAAAAAAAAGGTTTTCATTCTGGCCTTACTGTCTTATATTCATGCTAAAGAGCTGTACTAGAAAAATAATTTGAAAAGTATCACTGTATGCACAAGGCCCTGGGTTCTGTCTCCAGCACTGCAAAACAAAATAAGAGAAAAAAGTACCACTGAAACTTTTCTAAATGCTAATCTTCTAACAGAGATTTCAAAGGAATAAGACACAGGCTTGTTTTAACTAAGAGACTTGGATTAAATATATATGTACTTATATACATACATATTAAAATATATATATATATAAATAAATATATATATTCCATTTAAACATCACTTTCTCCACCACCCACACCTGTGTACCTTATAGGGAGTCATTTAATAATGGCTCTTTGATTTAAAGTCACAGTTACTGATTGATCTAGTGATGCATTATTATTATTTTTTTCCTTAGAGTGTTGAGACGTCTGGTTACACTTATAACTCAGCTGGCAAAAGAACTATCAAACAAAGGAGTGCTTAAAAGTCAAGCAGAAAATACTAATAAGGCTGCCAAAAGATTCATGGAAGAGAATGAAAAACTAAAAAGGGTATTTAATCTTTTTTGTAACAGTTCATATGAATATTGTTGATATTGTTGTTGAACAATAATGTTCTGTGGAATGATTGTATCTAAAGTACCTTTACTATTCTCTTAGTTTATTTGTTCTCACGTTCTCATCCATAGTAAATTAATATCTTTGGACCTATTTCTTATGATTCAAAGAGAAAACATTCTGAGGTTATGAATTTTAATTTCTTCATTACCATTAATCTTACTTCATTACCCAAACTAAATCTTTGTGATTCTGTTTCCTTTTCTTTTTCAGTTAAAGTATGATTGGTTGTATAAAAAGCAGAGAGAGGTCATTGATTGTAGATTGATGATTGTGCATAATAGTTTAAATCTTTATTTTGGTGATGCTACTGATATTCCTACTTTGAGAATCCTATATTATCCTTCCCCTTACATTCAGTGTGGATTAGGTACTGGTGTTTTTTCCACTGACCAAAAAGAACAAATGGAAAAATGAAAGATACAAAATTACTTTGGATATCTTTTTTTCTAAAGAAATTTAAAATTTAGGAGTCAGGTTTCAATGCTTCAGTGTTGTCAGTGCGTATTAAGTCCCATTAGTTTCACTCATTCTCCTTAGAAAAAAGAGAAGAGAAACACATTTTCTTGAAGAAAACATTCCTAAAATAATGCAATAATATTATTTTTTTAATATTTTTTAAATTGTAGATGGACAAATACCTTTACTTTACTTGTTTTATTTATTTATTTATTTTTGTGGTGCCAGGGATCAAACCCAGTGCCTTATACATGTTAGGYAAGCACTCTACCACTGATCCACATCCCCATCCCAAAATTATTTTTCTCTTGTGAATTAAAGAAATGCAAACAGTCATTATCATTACACCAAGTTATAGTTAGGTAAAAAGTATTTTGAGTCAAGCAGTAGAAAATTAAAGTCCTTGTCTAAATCCTAATGTTCAGTCTCTTACAGAAAGGATAATTAGCACACCCTTTCATCAATTCTTAATAAGTTAGCTATACATGATACAGTATAAAGCTTTCTAAAACCTATTAAATGAGGCAACAACTAATTGCAAAAAATTGTAATGATTCTCCATTATTATGGTCACCTCTTCAAAGCCCATATTTTATTTTTTATATCTGCATCATTTATACTGTAACAAAAAAGGTAAAGAAAGATCTCTGTTCATAGAAACAGAATTCAAAAGTGTTTCTTTTGAGTAGATTGTTAGCATGTTTTAAGGAAACTTTTGGAGTACAAGAACCAGTTTATATTTTGATTTGATCTATTTCAAAAAGTCATTGATCTATCATATCAAAGTCTTGTAAATTTGCTTTGGTATTTTCTGTATTCAGAAGCAAGCAATATGGCATTTTCTTTTTTGGAATGTATCAGCAGCACAGTCAAGCACTTTATTTTGTGCTTTAATGTTACTTGCATCATTTATTTATCCTTTGATCTCATTTCCCAATAATAAAAAACAAAATCACAGTCCTCTAAGCTTTGATTAATATATGATGGCTAAATTCAAAAGTACATAGCCTCATTTTTATGAAAAGATTTCTTGGATGCTCATATTGATTGTAAATTATATACATCATATCAGAGTAATGAATTATAACTACTGTAAGGACACTTACTTTTTCATCTTCAGTTGTCTTTCTCTTTACTCCTCAACTCTACAAAAATGTAAAGTATTTAAAGTTTTGAAACTGTTACTTTTCCCATGTACACCATAATTAGTGCACTTAAATTTCCCTTATTCTTTTAAAAAAAAAAAATCACTTTCCTCAAAATATTTTTGGAGCTTTGCTTTCAGAAATTGTTTTCAAGTCTGTTACCCAAAGGAAGGAAATCTATTTTATGGTCACTGATTCCTTGACCTCCCAMAGTTTCTTCTTTTTTTATTTTCCTTTCCTTTGGTTCCATGCTGTCCTGGTTCCCTGCTTCCTACATAGCTGAGACCTATTCAGTGGTGCTGGATCATCAGATGAAGCACAGATAATGCAGGACTAAGGCTAGTATACAATGGGACAAAAGTCTGTGAACTAGACCAAAATACTCTCAGAGCTCAGAATGTAACTAATTGACCAATAAAATAAAAGCCATAGGTGAAAATATAAAGGATGGCTTTGATTTCAGGTACTTGTGGATTTTGAAATATTAGCTAAGGAAAAATAAAATTTTCTCTTTGTTCTCTATCAGAGGCATATTATGTAGTAGAAAGCTCATTATCTTGAGATCTAAGAGACTTGGGTACCAGTCCCTGCAATTAAGTAATTAGCAATTAAGTAATTAATTAAGTAAGTAATTAGCAATGTGACCTGGGATGTTACCTGTGTGTTCTGGTCTTAAAGTTTCCTTATCTGTAAATAATAGTTAACAACATGTCAAGTATTGCTTCAAATGCTAGACAGTAAGGTATTAACTCTCTTAATTCTCACAACAATCCTGTGAGTTTTATATTTTATTATCTGCATTTTATAGATGAAGAAACAGGCCTAGAAAGGCTAAGTAACTTGCACAAAATCAAGTTTTCTGTTACTCAGAAAATTGGAAACTAAGCAGCCTGACACTAGAATCCACATTTAAAACCACTTTGTTTTCTGCCCTCAATTCCTATCCTGTTATTAAAATGACTTGTAGTGGGCTGAGGTTGTGCTCAGAGTGCTTGCCTTGCATGTGTGAGGCACTGGATTCGATTCTCAGCTCCACATATAAATAAAGGAATAAAATAAAGATTCATCAACAACTAAAAAAAATTGTTTTAAAAAAATGAAGTTTGTGCCTTTTCTGTTCTGCCTTTCAGTTAAAGGAAATAATTACAAAAATAAAACTAAAACTAAGAAAAAAAAAACTCACTTTTAATTTAAGTGCTTTAAAATTAAAAAAAAAAAAAAAAAACAGTATGGAGTTTTACCTTGCACAGACTTTTTGTTCCAGTCACTTACCAAGGTGGGATGAGGTGAGTGGGACAGAGAATACTCATGTTCATGTAGCTGGTAGCTATTGAATTTCAGATTCTAGGATCCTTGGTCTGTTTCCAAGGTGAAGTTACACATAATAAATTTGGATGATTTTACAGGTGCAGTAATGAAAGCTTATTTACAAGACTAACACAAATCCAACTTTTCCAAATCATTGCCATAATAATTCAAGTAGTCACTATAAACATTCCTGCAACTCAGTGATTCTTTTCCAATTTGAGTAATCACTAGAGATTTTATGAACTGAATTCAATGAAGTAACAGCTATAATTGTTTTGAACTTGAACTAAGCAACAAATTAAAWGGTTTGGAGAAATTTTTTTTCTTGTCTTGATTTTTAAATTATTATTTTTTAATTTCAAAATTTTGAGTCTCCTTTAGTTCCAGAATATATTTTAATCCTTATTTCCCAAATATGATTTTTTTTAAAGAGAGAGTGAGATAGGAGAGAGAGAATTTTTTAATATTTATTTTTTAGTTCTCGGCGGGCACAACATCTTTGTTGGTATGTGGTGCTGAGGATCGAACCCGGGCCGCACGCGTGCCAGGCGAGCGCGCTACCGCTTGAGCCACATCCCCAGCCCCCCAAATATGATTTTAAGATTATATGATATATTCAGTAGAGCTTTAATTCCTCCTCTGACCTGCCTAATTTTTGTTATAGTGCATTAGTACTGTATTTGTCTTGTGCAACAGTTTTTATGCTCATCTTTTCATTTCTACTAAAGTTACCTAAGAGTAGGAATCATGTTTCTCTTACAGCACCTTGGATTATAAAATATTTGCCTATAGTCATTGCTCAGTGGAAATTTGTAAGTTTTGTTTGTTGACCATATCAACTTACATTAAAAAATGAATCACCCTGCCCTTGAAATTCTTACCTCAGTCTGTGTAAAATTCTTGTGAGTTGCTCTTTTACCAGACTGTGGAAGCTGTCAGTATTAAGTTGTTGCCACTTTATTTAGTCCACTAACCCATGCTAGAGGTTACACATTTTAGTTTTTAAATATTCATTTATTTATATTAGTAACTTAAATTCCTTAATATTTCTTTAAGTCAGCTTCCTAGTTCTAGTAACAGTGATAGTTTGTATCCATACAAATTATGGAATTTTTTACTTCATGATGTTTTTATTTTAATCAGTTGTTTCACTGCTGAGATCTTAATTTTTCCTGCCTAGAAAAGATAAGCTACAATTTTTCTAAAAGCCAGAATAGATTTCAAAATATAAATAACATTGTAAAGAATTAATTGCTGAGTAAAAATAATTTGGGGACTGCTCAATGAAAATTAGATAGAATTTTCCAGCTATAGATATGGCCCTGTCATTTTCCACTTATCCGTCTCCACCCTGACAACTTTATATTCTTACAAATTTGTCTGTATAAAAAAATAGTCTTGAGTGGACAGCTTTGCAACCAGAACACAATGGTTTTCTAATTACTATCAGCCTCTTATTTCTTTAGATTTATGCCATGCACTTAATTGAGGAAGAGAGATTCATGTTATTTACCTGAATAATTTTTAAAACATAATTCTAATTGTACCTTATCAAGAAATTCTTATTTTCATTTCAGATATTTTAGCCATAATACAAAGAAATATTTTTTGTGTTTGTCAATTATCAAGTTTCTGTTAGCAAAAGAAAATTATAAAAAAAAGAAAATGGTAACCTTATAGAAAATTATAAAATATCTAAAAGGACAAAGAATAAAATAAAAACCAATAGCTTTAGATAGATTACTTGTTTCCCTTCCTATAAATTTTTTTTCTTGTCTTGATTTTTAAAAAATTATTTTTTAATTTCAAAATTTTGAGTCTCCTTTAGTTCCAGAATATATTTTAATCCTTATTTCCCAAACATGATTTTAAGATTATATAATATATTCAGTAGAGCTTTAATTAAGCTATCTAGCTATCTATCTAGCTATAAGCTATCTAGCTATAACCTATCTAGCTATCTATCTAGCTATCTTAATCTAAGCTTACTTCTTCCTGTACCTCTCTTTTGTAACAGATTTTGAAAACCACAGATGAAGAACATACTTTGGAAACAGAAAATAAAAAACTAGTAGAAGACCAGGAAAAACTGAAAGCTGAATTAAAGAAGACTTTAGATGGTAACTTTGTGTGCATGTAAAAAAGTGAAAAGACTAGCATATTTTATGCTGTTACACTTCACTGTTTTTCCTAAAACAAAACTCATGCCTAAATGTCCTTTTGGCCAAAATACCAAGAATGACCTATTTATAAATTCCTGCTCAAATATGAAGATAAAACATTGCATCAGCCAAGAGAAACATGTTCTGTTATGTAGAGAAACATGTAGGTGTTTCAGATCTGTGTTGTAAATACAAATGTTCGTGCCTTAGTAGAAGAGCTATGTTCCTAAAAAGTTGCTTGTAAATACATTTTTGTAAAATGAGTCCCATTTTTCTATCATCATGTATTACTACTTTCATAGAAACAAGTCACTAAGGTTAGTTTTGGTTACAAAAAGATATATTGCTTATCCCAAGTTCTAATATTTCCTACCCACTAGATAAAAGGAAAGCATTCCTTGAAAGAGATGGATAGACACAGAAGCAATAATCTGGGATGGCAGCTGAGAATTCAAGTGCTCCATTCCAAAATACATTGCACTGTAGGCTTGAATTGGAGTATCCCCAATTCCATTTCCATGAAGGCAGCTATTTCTTCTACATTAAAAGRAAAAAAAGTATTCTAACAGTGTTTTCTTCCTAACCAAAAAACAAAATAATATTCCCTGCAGCTGCATAGCACAGAAAAGTGAACATCCCAAATCCAGTGTCATTATAGAAAACTCATGTTGTAAGTGTGTAGCTTAACCTCTGGCGCATTTCTGCATATAGGAACAATTGTTCCTAACCTGTTAGCTAGATTCTGGGGAACTTGTCTTCTTCCAGTCAGGATCAAGGTAATATGAATGCATAGACCATGTCCAATTTCAAATCACTTCTACTTTAAATTGGAGATAAGTTGGAGAATATTTGGTGACTGAATCTACCTATTTTCTGCCATTTGTAAGTTTAGGTTTCCTTTTAGTAGGTCTCAGTACAATAAAAGTTCCTTGAAATATAACATGTTATTGTTAAACATCTGTTTACATTCTTTGGATGAGATTTACTGCATCAAGATAAATTTGAATTTTAAATTGAAAGCCCAAATATAAAAGCTAATTCTATAAATAATATGAAAATTCACAGGATACTTTATGATGCAAAAATTCTTTAACCATATTTTTTTCTGTTTCTTATTTAAAGTTTTTTTTTTTTTTTTTTTTTTTTTTTTTTTTTAAAGGACAGTTTAGAGGCAGTAAGTTAAAATAAATTACCCAGGCTGGTGTTGTGGCTCATTGGTAAAGGTTTGATTCTCAGCACCACATTAAATAAATAAATAAATAAATAAATAAACTGAAGTTAAAAAAAAATTTAATAAATAAATTACCCTTCTAGACAAAGTGGAATATTTGGTTGGTATGGTATAGCTCAAATTTGAGGAATCATATAATTGGTAGTGATAAATATTCTACAGTTACAAAAAGTCTGGACATGATAAAAAAAATGTTAACATTTACATAAAAATTCAGTAGTCACCTACCCTCTGCAGTAGTCATTTCAGAAAAGAGAGTAGTATTCATTTTTTTTTTTACTTACCATAAAATGTTATTGCTAATCCTTTTAGAGAATTCATGGAGCCATTTCCAAGCCACCTTAAATGAGTAAAAAGAAAAGGAAAAGAAGGAAGGAAATTGTTTCAAAATCTTACTTTCTTTTATATCAGCCAAGGATCTCTTTTTTTTATTTGTTCTTTTTAGTTATATATGACAGTAGAATGTATTTTGACATATCAAATGTGCATGGAGTATGACTTTCCATTTTTGTGATTGTACATGCTGTGGAGTTCTAATAATCATATATTTATATATGAATGTAGGAAGGTTATTGATTCCTTTTCTTATAAACAGGTGGTACAAAAATAAGACAAGAATAAGCTGTAGGCTTTGTATGCCTCTCTTGACCCCTCTCAGGAAGCTTTAATTAGTTTCCTAAGTCTGACATAAAAATCAACTTAATACTATATGAGTATTTCTTTAAAAGACAAATTTGGTGTTTGGAGAAAATGAACTCTTTGATAATATAGGCATTGTATTTGTAATCTGATAACAAGAAACACCAACTTCCGTGTTTGAAATGTAGACTACATAACTCCTTTCAAAGTGAGAAAGTATTGAGATAAAAGCGGATTTTACCTGTTTGAGTATGCCTGGTTTGGTTCCTGCAAGATATGTGATATTTTATGAAAACATCTTATTTACCCAAAGTTACTTTTTTAATATTCTTAATAACCTTGAGAAACTCAAAGGTCCCATTTCTAAAGAAGGCATTTTTTGACCATGTTCTCTTCAACCAGTAAGATTCATGAAAGCAAGAATAAAGAAATAGTGTCAATTAGAATTGTGGATTTAGATTCATGCAGCAATATATTTTATATATAATATCACTCAAAAATATTCATTGATTCCTAAAAGTTTAGGATATTAAGGTGAAAAGTGTTTGAAAAGTTTTCAGTAAAGACTTTTATATTTGCAAATGTTGAGAGAGGCAAAGATATTTTCCATATGAATTTTCTTGCCTTTGGTGTTTCTTAAATTTAAGTGAAACATTTTCTCCCAAGTATATTAGTGGAATTGTAAATACAAAGTTTTATGTAAATTGATAAGCTCCAAATTAGAAAAGTGGTATTCTGAAGGCAGTTATTAAAAATGTTCTATTGTAGTACCAAACTTCATCAGTTTTTAATTACCAGCTTAGATTTGACCAGTTAGTTAACTATTCCTGTACTTCATTGTAGTAATATCACTCTAGAGATATAAAAGAGAGCATACATATCCCAAAGCACCTAATTTATACTCAGGACTACTTAGTCATGTGTAAGGACCTCGTCTGTCATTTTAATAATCCATTTAACAATGACTCTGATATTCCAGAGTGTGGAGTATTTGAGAAAGAGCACTGCCATGAAAAAATGATAGCCTAAGTTTTAAGGAATTTACAGTCTGTCTCATAAGCTTTTATAACAGAAATAGAACTTTATATTATAAAAAACCTATCGTCCAAGGAGATTGACTTCAAAGGACACATCCAGGAAAACTGTTGTTACTTGTTCTTATAAATAAATATTTTCCCAGTATTTATTCTTGAAACTTAAGGAAACATGCAACACTCAATCATTGCATGCATCCAGGAAAGGGTAAATATGATTAAATAGTGATTGAGCTGCTTATAGAAATATCTGCCCCTCATTCCTTCAGGGACAGGAATACATCTATCACATGCTATGTTAAAAAAGGAATTCTTGGGCTGGGGTTGTGGGTCAGCAGTAGAGTGCTCGCCTAGCAAGTGTAAGGCCCTGGGTTCGATCCTCAGCACCACATAAAAATAAATAAATAAAGGCATTGTGTCCAACTAAAACTAAAAATAAATATTTTTTTAAAAAAGGAATTTTTAGGGCTGTCAATCTTATAATAAAGGATGTATAGGTTGTATAGTAGTGTGTATCTCCTACAAAAAGCAAAGTGACTGAGGCAAATTCCTTGACTCTGCTTGCATTCCTGCCTTTCTTTCATCAACAAATTTTTTATTTATTTATTTTGATTTATATGTGACAGCAGAATGCATTACCACTCTTATTACACATGTAGAGCATAATTTTTCATATCTCTGGTTGTATATATAGTATTTTCACACCAATTCGTGTCTTTATACCTGTACTTTGGATAGTAATGATCATCACATTCCACCATCATTAATAACCCATGTCCCCTCCCTTCCCCTCCAACCCCTCTGCCCTATCTAGAGTCCATCTATTCCTCCCATGCTCCCTCTCCCTGTCCCACTATGAAGCAGCCTCCTTATATCAGAGAAAACATTTGGCATTTGTTTTTTTGGGATTGGCTTATTTTGCTTAGCATGATATTCTCTAACTCCATCCATTTACCTGCAAATGCCATGATTTTTATTCTCTTTTATTGCTGAGTAATTTTCCATTTTGTATATATGCCACATTTTTTTTATCCATTCATCTATTGAAGGGCATCTAGGTTGGTTCCACAATTTAGCTATTGTGAACTTGAGCTGGTAGAGTGCTTGCCTTGCATGTATAAGGCTCTGGGTTTGATCCCCAGCACCACAAAAAAAAAAAAAAAAAAAAAACTGGGCAAATCTAGTATAAAAACACTTAGGAAAAACATACACCAAACTATTAATACACAAATGGTTATCTTTGGAATGTATAACGAATGACTTTTCTGGATTTTAAATTGTTTTCTATAATACATGTATAATACATTTATATAATGAGAAAGATTTTTATTGTTTTTTTTAACCTCTCTTCCAAATATCCTGGTAGTTGTGAGGCAGTAGATGTTTTGCTTGAATTACCTTATTAATGGACTATTCCCAATTGTACTTTGAGAATGGACCCTAAATATGAGAAGTAGTTTAACTTCTATCATATGAATTTTACTTTTCAAAGTCTGTGAGAATACACTGTATAACTTTGGTCCAGTCATTAACCATTTTTGGCAACAGTTTTCCATTAAACAAGGGAATAACTAGTTGTAATTTTTATATCACCCCAAATAGCATAATCAAGAAGCAGAAATGACCATCAAGAACTATTTTCAACTGTTGGCTTTTTGATTCTTAAATTATGTTTATTTTTCATGAGAGAGAACTTTACACAGTAACTTCCCTTTCCCTCAAACTTAAGTTCAGCAGGTGGTTAATTAAATCATATTCTTCACTTCAGAAAGATGTCTCGTGCTGTCATTAAGACAGGACCTGGCATGTTTTATCCATCTGTTAGCTCACAATCTTGAATATTTAACTCTCTTGGGTGGAACATTGGGAAGAAAAAGAGGGCATGTGCTAACATAACAATTTCTCATTATTAAGAATGTGGTTGGTTGTTTAGAACATCTTTTGGATCTGTTGATATGGAATAGTAAACCTTCACAGGAAAGGAGAAGTGATTTGAAAAAAGAAATCAGCATTTTTTTTTATTATTATTATTAAAAATAAGACTCTACGGGCTG